GACAGGGCCAGCTAAGTGGGGTCTGCATGCTGTCTAAATAGATTGTCCAGGAAAATACTCAGGAACTGTCAAGACACTGAAGCAGCACATACCACACACCCCTCCCTGCCCTGTTATATTTTACAGAGTGATCGGTCTCTTAACCCACAGTTAACAGGATAGGATTGGCATGAGAAAGGATTCCTTTCACTGGGACAGCTGCCCCACCGAGGTGTTAAAATGGGAGCAATGGTGGGAAGCATAGACTGTTGTTGGCTTGTGTGGAGTTGAACGCTTGTGCTTCCAAACTGTCAGCATCCCATTGCTTGTTTGCATGACTTCCAAAAGGAATCCAGGAAAGAGCCTTGCAGTCAGCATCTTGGCCTCCAACAACCCTCTCTCCCATTGATTTAGAAAAATCAGGGTAAACGAATAATTTTATATTCCAGGAAGAAGAAATGAAAGCGGCACAAAGGAATCAGATATCTGGACCCAAAAAAGAATGATTTCATTTGAAAAGACATCCTGTATCGTGGCATAGTCTAGGCATAGTCTAGACATGCACTGTGTAAGAAAAACAAGATATATGGATCAGAAATACACACACAAAACACAGTACAGGAGTACAAAACAAATCTTGATAGAGAAATATGCATCAGCAGATCTGTATTAATAGCATAAGACTCGAGTTTTGCTACGCTGCCTAGATCCTGGTAATAGCCTTTGTGCAATATTACTCCCACAGTAATGTTTATTTTAAATTTTCTAAATACTTGACATTGTTTCATTTCCTGAATCAATTAGTTATGTCTTACTGAAAACACGTATGTTAGAGAAAGAATTCACGCATTTCTGGTTTTTCCTCAAATGCTGCTGTGTATTTTTAATTTATACAAATGTGTTAAATAGTAAGTGTAGGAATCAGAGCAAGTCAGAGCAATGCCATGTGAAAATGAAGAGTGCTTGGGAGATTTTCCTGGTGTGCCTGTGGCCTAACAGAACATCCATTCCATGTGGGAAAATATAATGTTAGGAATATATATAATATATAATAATAATAATAATATAATATATAATGTTTAGACTGTGACCCTGGAGCGCAGTGCCATTGGACAGGTGAAGCTCAGTGGTTTCAGAGCAGAATGTGGGATCCCATCAAACACATAGAAGACAATGCTAACAGTAGCCTGTGATTCCTGGGTTGTTTTCACTAGAATACACTAGCTTTAATTAGTGCCTCATTAGTCTGTGAAGTGGATGAGTATTATAGGCAGATAGATCACATAGTTCCCAAGACTTTTTGTTGTAATCCAGGCTTGACCAAAACTTCCAATTACAGATCTAGTTTCAGTACTTTTATCCCTCCATGTCTTCTGTGGTTCCCGTCTCTCATTGCCTGTATGTTGGAGGGTATTTTCCTACCAACTGTCTGTAAACACAGCGGTATGAAATCTTTAGCAAATGTTAAGGTGTTCCTGGTTCATCTCCATTTCAGATCATAAACTGTTAGGGTTTCTTTGTGGGTTTTTTTCTGCCTTTGTTCACCTACCCCACCCTTTCCTGCAGCAGGAGCAGCTCAGAGAGGGGATTAATCTCTGTTTCTGCATTGTGAGCAGCATGATTATGATGAAAGACTGCTTTAGAAGAGGCAGGCTTTGGGAGGGTGTCTAAAGGACCATCAAATGCAGAAATGTGTTTCTAGTCCAAACTTCTCAACAGAAAATATGTCCCCTGTTCTTACTTTTCCATGTCTGTATAGGTAGTGTAAGAGCTGATGAGAAGTCATCCTGTGTACAGGAAACTTCATGGTGTACCCAGCACGTTTCTTGTGAAGAGAGTAAAGATTAATTTAGGGTAAAGACCATTTGTAGGCTGTTTCAGTTTCTGTTCGTAAAACAATGTGGGAGGCTGAGAGGGTTGTACTGCTCTGTAGCAAGACTTATCATTTTCCGTGCCATTGTGCTGTACTTAACTTGATAAAAGTTGTTCTGAAAAGTGAAACAGAGCTGTGCTTTTTCCTTTTTAGTTAGCAAACATGTGTTACAAATGCTCACTTCCACCTGTGGGTGTGCATATTTTTGTGCTTATAGGAGTGGTGAAGAAATAGAAGTGTTGTGATGACAAGTGAAATTAAAAGGATATCTAATTAAGTAGAATGCTAATTGTATTTCAGTTGTGAATATGGACAAATAGTCTTAATTTGCACAAAGAACTAACTGGCCTAAATTGCGGTTTTCTATTAAAAGTACTCAAATATGTTAAAGAGGTAAAATTAGGTTTTTAGATTAATTGAGTTTGCTGAAGTTCATAGTGGGGAAGGGTCAAGAAGTTTGCGATTTACAGATTGCTCTATAACTAAGTGGGACTAAATGGGAGAAGGTGAACAGAAAAGCAAAGAGAAAGAAAGCTACTTTCTGCTGCTGAAATGGCCTTTTATCTAAATATTGCTGAAAGGTGGCATTTGGGGATTTCCACGCTGCACAAATACATTCATTATATCTTGTGGTAGTTTATTTCGTTTTATTGTGGAAGACTTTGCCCTGCTCTTGATGAGGTCACAGAATCACAGAATCTTCATGGTTGGAAGGGACCTTTGAGATCATTGAGTCCAACCATACACACAAAAAACCCCCAAAAAACAAAAACAAAAAAAACCAAGCACGAAAAAAACCACAAAACAAAACACCTAACCCAACAATCTTGGGCACTAGAGCATGCCCCAAAGTGCCATGTCTACACGTTTCTTAAATACCTCCAGAGTTGGTGACTCCACCACCTCCCTGGGCAGGCCGTTCCAGTGCCTCACCACTCTCTCAGTGAAGTAACTCTTCCTAATATCTAATCTAAACCTCCCCTGTTGCAACTTAAGACCATTTCCTCTGGTCCTGTCATTATTCACTTGGGAGAAGAGGCCAACACCCCCCCTCTCTACAACCTCCTTTCAGGTTGTTGTAGAGGGCAATGAGGTTCCCCCCTCAGCCTCCTCCAAACTAAACATGCCCAGTTCAACATGCCCAGGTCACTCACTTGCTCAGAATTCTGATGAGGGCTTCAGAGAGTGACAGGGAAAACTTACTTTTTTGTCCTTGGTAATCAAGATTCTGGTCGGTGGGAGAGGGGAACATTGAACCAGCTTATGAGGGAAACCTAGACTTAAGGTGTACACTGAGAGGAGGAAATACATGCTCTTTGTGGAGCTGATGGACTAGCATCTGCCAAGCATGTTCTTGGTGGGGAAGTCATTTCAGTCGGAGGCAAAAGTCCATAATGGATGCTGGCACTACTTACTTTCTTTTACCTTACCAAGGGCCATGGTAAGTGGGATGTCCTAGATCAAGGTGTACCTAAAGGGGAATGAAACTCTTTTGTCAACCAATGGATCTGCTCTAGGCTTAGTCTGTGTTGCTACCCCCACGAGTTTGGCCAGAAGAAAGAGTCTGACTCAAGGTGTCAAGCCCATGGCTCTGAGTTTTCCAGTTGTTGTGATCTGTGTGAGATTCAGGACATTCATTAAATGAGAAAGAGAAAAGTGAAGTACTTATGAGACTGAAAAAAAATAGCTCTTACTCAGTGTCAGTTTTAGCAGGTTTTCGCTGCAAGTTGCTGTCCTTTCAGCTTATGTTCTGCACTTGAGCGGCTTCTGCCGCCATGAGTGAAAGGGTTAATCCAATACTTCACCTTGGATTCTGAAGCATGGTCATTAAAGCTCATTGCATCCTCTTTGAAACAGCTGTTGGAGATGGGATGCTGGAATTGCTGAAAGATTGGCGTTTCTGGGATTGCTGGCTCCGGGAGTGGTACCAACCTTTTATAGCATCTAATGAAACTATCTGGTGGCTTAATTTGGTAGGAATCATACCTCCATTGATTTCTATCAAAAAACATGATTGTAAAGTTATAACGATTGAAGTGCTTGTAATTCAAGAGAGGATCAGAGGAGCTGTCATTGAGGTGTGTCAGGCTATGCAGAGAATAGAGGGAAGTCATCCCTGCCTGAGCTAGCACAACTGTGGGAGGGATCCAGTTTGCCCAGCTGCAGCATGAGGTCTAAGCTAGTCATGTAAATTGTTTCTATAATTAGAGAGAGAGAGAAAGGTATCTTCGTGGGGTGATTCATCCCACCTACTTTGGAAAATGGTGACTCATTCACTGGAACTGCCTGTGTCTCACCATTGACTATACAGAGAACCTGGGCAGTGAGTTGAGATCAGATACCTGCCTCCTATGCAGTTCAGATCAGATAAAACCCTTTCCATAGGCATTAAGAGCTCATCACTATGTTCTTAAGCAGTCTTAGGTAATTGGTAGGGCTGGCAATTAAATCAAAAAGCCCAGACTGGACTTTCCCATCTCTTTTATTGTAGTATGGCACGCATGGGAGGTCTTAAATGGCAACTGTACTTGAATGATATGGTACCACTAGCAAATGCAAACCTTCAGTTAACACGTAGATTTAAAAATAAGTCACTTTTCCTATATGCTTATTGCTAGCTGTTCGTAAAAGCCTACCTTACATAGTAATTGCACCCAGTGGAGAAAGAGTCCTACATCCTGATCCTTTGAAATTCTGTGTTTTGACTCAGGATTTTTTTTTCTCCTGACATTGGCAGTTTTAAGTTCCAAACAGCAAAATTGTGAAAGTTTAACTATGGAAAAGCAAGCGTAGTAACGAAAGCTGTCTCATACTAAACATATCATATACATTCCTTTCTCTTTATAGCACCAGACCTTTCAGTAAACACATTAGCTATTCTGCCCACTCACTAAATGCTGTCAGTCCTTTTCAGCATAAGCTTATTTCTTTGTGCTCCTGCTCTGACTGGCTATTGCTATGACTAGTGCTGGGTGAGGCCCAGCAGAGGATGATACTCTTTTTCTAGTTTCAGAAAACTTTATTGTGAGAGCTAGTAATCAGAAGTTAAATTTACAGTTAATCTGGGAATGATACCTGCCTGATGGTTGTGATTTGTGCTGTGTAGAAAGATTGATTATTCATGCCGATTATTTTGTTAATTTTTTAGATGTGGACTTAACTGATGTTACGATATGCAAAATCCCTCCACACATGAGGAAAAGAGCCCTCTGTAAGTATGATCAGTGTCAGTAAATTAAAAGAGTATCATTAGGTGAGAAATTATTATTGCAATTTAAATGAATAGTTGAGAACTTAAGAGAGAGACTTGGAAAATTATTACACTGAGTAATATTTAAATAGAAATATTTACAAAACAAAGAAAATACCTGTCCCTATTTTAACTCCTTAAGGATTGACCCTTTTTAAGGATGTCAGCAGCTACAGGGATTTTATCTGAAAAACAACTGGACTCTTTAACCTAACTGCTGTCTGACCTGTACCTATGTGAATGTTAGTTATTCTCTAATAAGGTATTTGTAAGATTTTGGGGAAGGGGCTGTGGCATCCTGTCTAATTCTCTGCAAGCGTATTTTGGAGGTGTTCTGTTTCTTTAGGCATTTAGGTTTAATGGACTTACAAACCGCTAAACATCATGTTACATAAAGAACAAACCAAGGAAAATAAAAAAAGGAAGGAAAAAACCCCGTGCTTTTTTACTGTGAGTGATCAAACTTTGGAACAACCAGCTTGGCCAGAGAGGTCAACTTTTGTCCAAAACCAATTGGACACAGTCCTGAGCAATTTACTCTAGATGACCCTGCTTTTGAAGACGGGGTTTGGATTCAATGAACTCCAGAGATCCCTTCCAAACCCAACTATTCTGTGATTCCATATGAATTGGAAAACTGCCTGCTCTCATTTTTGGCTATCACAATTTGTATCTATAAACAGGGTGTTGTTTTATATGCTGTCGTTGAGTTTCAAAGCTTTTAGGGATAGGATGTTCAGAGCTCTCAAATTCTGCTTCTTCCACTCAAGCATTCTGATTTTTCCTATTTGGAATTGGTTTATGACATTATAGTGTATAAACCTGACCTGAATCACCAAGACAAATCATTAGTTCTAAGTGGCAACAGACTGGCCCATCCAGTGGACATGGCCTACATTCCTCCTTTCCTAGAATGAGCTCCCCATTTAAAATCTCATTCCTAAGCTCATGTAGATGGCCAGGGTTGTGTTCAATTCAGTTGTCTTAGATGTTTAACTTGCTTCTGAATTTTCAATGTCCAGTGAACCAGTGCTAGTTAAGAAGATGTTTGAGTTCCCTGTGGAGAGAGGGAGATTCTTTTGAAATCCTCCAGAGGGAGATGCTGACTAGTTAAATTCAGAGACTTAAGTTAAGCAGGTTGCATGTTCATTTGAAGGCCTTCATAATAGCATAAAACAAATACAGAAGTTCAATAACTACAGTGCTAATGTGGCTGACAGAAGGAATATTCAAATTTACCAGCCAAACCAAAAGCACCACATTTAACAACGTAACCAATTTTTCTGTAAGCTGTGGGTTTCTTTCCTACCGTAACATTTCACTTTATAGGCAGTGAGGGGAAGAACAACTGTCATGGATGTCTGTAGACTGATAAAGTGTAGGGTTAAAGTTCACTTCACTGATAAAGTGAAGAAAAAGCACAGGCACTGCCATGTGCCACAGCAACAGGCATCCCCTTTGCCTTTTTTGTTTTTTTACATCATCCTCCCAGAATTTCAGCCTCACTCTGACCCAGTGGGTTTTATTTATAGTTTTCAATATCCCCTTCTCATAGCAGTAAAGCCTGGAATGACACAGTGTGCTGACACTAACAACATATCTTGCCTTTTTGTTCTGTTTTCTGCCGACCCATTGTCCCTTTGTCCTTATCCCTTGTCGTACCTCTGCAGACAGAGTCCCCATCTGACAAATTTACTTGTGCTCCCAAGGGATTATGAATACCAGGAAACTTCATTAAGGATGGTTTAATAACTTAGACAAAGGAGAAGAGCAGCTGGTCTGTTAACAAGTCTCTCTCAACCCCCATTCTCTGACAGAAGAGGCTTTCTTGCCTGTGGTACAGTCTACAACAATTTGCAGCAAAATGCTACAGATGTACATGCAAATTGAGTTATTGTGCATTGGATGTGCTTTGAGCCTTTTATTTGAATGACCCGAGGCAATTTTATGACAGTAGGTTTGCTGCTGTTAAAAAGAACAGGAGCTGATAGTGACCTAAAATTTCAATGTGTGTTTTTGCTCTCTTTATTGTTTAGCATAGTAATGTTAGAGGAATAGCAATTGGAGACAACCTGCTGCATTCTGCTACTCTGCAAGACAAACATCAGTAAAGCCAAGCAGCAAGAGAAGAAGGGCTCTTCATGACAAAATGACAGCAAGAGAACACAGTCCCCGCCATGGTGCAAAATCCCGCACTGTGCAACGGGCCTCCACCATTGATGTCACCTCTGATATGGTGGGCCTTTCTCTGGCAGGTATGTACCTTCATGTCAGCTATTGCTCTGTTGCTACTTTCAGAACCTACCTTGCACTAACATTGGGGGTTTTTTTGTTTAATTGCTAGAGGATTTAGATGTGTCTGGTTACTTGGAGAGAATGAGATAAAGGAATTATACTAAAGAGTTTAAAAAAAAAATCTTAAACTTACCATTTTTAAAATAACCAAAACATGAAAATTGGAGAGGGAAGAAAAAAAAATTAAGCTACGTTTTGTGCAGTTATGTTTATCAGTCAAAAATGAGCAACAGGGAAAGAAAAAAACAAAAGAATGTCAAGGTCTAGGAAGAGTCTTGGCAACCTCCTTGTTTGACATTGTATAAAATTTTCAAGAGAGTTTAGGGACCTGAGAATTATCTCTCTCATCTTTAATGGTGAGTAAATTAGGATTGTAACCCGCAGAGGCTTTTCTTTGATTAGTGAGAGAGACAGGTACTTTCAAACTTCTCCCTATTCACTGATCACAGAGGAGATATATCTGATTGAATAATTTGGAGTTAATAGTGGTTCAGACACTAAGTGGCTTTAATCCTGTTGTTTTCTACTGAGATTTGGCATTTTATATTCCCATATTGCATATAATCTTGCATAGTTTTACATATTTTAACATGCTTTATACAATGAGATCATCTCAGGTTTTTCAAATCATTTTTAGAGATCAAATATTAGCTGATAAATATTTTAAATACCAGTCATGGATCCTTAAATTAATTTTTTTTTTCTTCTGTAAAATTTAGTTTCTTTCTCTGTATGACTACAACTTCAGGATTCACATGACAGCAATGTTTGGCTAACCTTGTGTTAATTTTTCTGATTTACAGGAAACATTCAGGATCCAGATGAGCCTATTTTAGAGTTCAGTTTAGGTAGGCTTAGTGGTTTTTATGCTAATTTTGATTATATGTGCTACTGAGTATGTGTGTGTGTTTTTTATTGTTGATCTTGTAGTGCCTTTCACATAGTAAGGTTTGAAATTTTGTTTCCATTTTTATGGAGATGTGGTAAAGTTTTCTTGCTGTCTGTACAGTATCTTTTGATAAGAACCCAGCAGTTTGATTTTGTTATGTTTTTAAAAGTCTGTAATTAAAACATCTGTCCTATAAAATATTAAATGTTTGCTATCTGAGTGTTATTTAAAAATGTTTATTTTGTTTACATGAAGATAGAGTGAAACTGTCTTCAGTCTCAGTATATCAGCAACTCAGGTCTTCAAGCAAACTGAAGATCTGCTGGAAATACCATTTTAGGACAGAATAGTTTCTAAGTTACCAACTATTACAGATACCTTCTTTCCTGTGGTCTTTGCTGTCAAGTGATAATATGAGACACAAAGTAACCTGTTTCCTGAGATGGTTAAATTTGGACAAAAAGCTTGTACATTGACTCACCTCACTTGAAGAATGAGTTGTGAGTGAAAAATATTTTCTTCATGAAAATTCAGTCCACATTTTCAACAGCAGCATGGTTTTCTTGTCTTTAATAGTGGACTAATGTTTGGAAGGTTGTGCTCTTAACAGTATGTTTGAAATGAAAAGTTAGAAAATTTTATCAGATGTATGTAATTGTGTTATGAATAATAATCTTAACAAGAACTCCACAAAGCTGAATAAGCTACTTTAAATATTTTCAGATGAATTAAAAATATCTAGAACGGCAAAGCTGTTTAGTGTACATTTAAACATTTTGCTTGCCCAGGTAAATTTCAAAATTAACTTTCTGCATCTAGCTGAAGCAGAGTCAGACGACACTGTAGTTATTTTATCTAGCTAGACTGAATTTGGCTCTGAAGTTTAATGTAATTGTGGAGAGTCACTCACTGAGATTTTTGGTAGTTGTTTCCTACTCACCATAGTCCCTTCCAGGAGTTAAACTCACAATAGCATTTTAGAAGAAATAAATTGCTCTCCTTTTGCAATTACAAGCTGGTTATCCTCATAGTAGTGCCGCTTGATCAATGTTCAAGCACTTCTATTGGCTCTCCATGGCAAAATGCCGTTTGGTAATGGGCTTAATAGAGCGTGACTTCAAATCAAATGCAGCCATGCTCATGAGATTCCCAGAGGAAAACCTATGCATGTAGACTGTTCTAATGAGCTGTGCCAGGGGAGTGGATAGGCAGGTGTTTGTAGGGAACAAGTTTACATTACAGCTCTACACTTGGAGCCAGGCTGGTCTGATTGCACGTTTGCATGCACAAGGGTGAGTGATGTCTGCCTTTATAGTGTGGTGGTAGAGTATTAGACCCTTCATGGCTTTATTGCTCAGGGTATATAATAAGCTTTTATAAAAATGTAGTCTTACAGCAATATGGAAAAGATCCTGAATCTAAATTTATTTCTCTGTTGCATACCTAAAGCTTGCAGTGAGCTGCTAACTCCATCGCTAGATCGAAAACCAAATAGTTTTGTAGCAGTGAGTGTAACTACACCTCCTCAGGCATTCTGGACAAAGCATGCACAGACAGAAATTATTGAGGTAAGTGGAGAGGTACTCCTGGAGTAGATTTAAAATTGAAGCTAACACAGGAAACGTTTCTCCCTAACAAATACCACCTTGCATTAATTTTTGCCTTTTTTGTTTATGATTACAGGGAACAAGTAATCCTATCTTTCTAAGCAGCATTGCCTTTTTCCAAGACTCTCTTATCAATCAGATGACACAAATCAAACTCTCCGTGTATGACGTCAAAGATAGATCTCAGGGAACAGTAAGTTTTCTTTATTCTGTTGCCTGCCCAGTCAGTGTGGAACAAGAGAGGCAAGGAGATAAAAGTAGTAATTTTTGTGCAAGAAAGCAAAGGGGTAGCAGCACTAGTCCCATAGAAGGCAAGATGGGTAGGGGAAGGAGGTACAGAAATGCTGTGAGATGGACTTGGCACAGTGGGGAGCACTGCCGGTTTTCTCAAATAAGGCTTGTCTGCATCAGATTAGGAAACTGCTGACTTAAATTAAGAGGTTCTGTCACTTGCTCTCTTACATTATGGATCTCTTTACTGAGCTAGATAATGAATGGGATCTAACACTCCTAACTGAGGCCTCTAGCCTGTGCCAAAATTTTGGGCCTATTTGGCCCATAATGGAACAGACCTTTTCAACAGAGATGCAAAATTCCAGAAATCACCCTGCCCTGATACCTTAGTCATTTTGTTCAGGGATAACATTTGTTCCCTTACTGAAAAAAGTTTAAGCACCAGCCCTCCCATGTAACTACTTGGATCTGTGGGCAGCTTCGGCCATTTATTTTCATATTGTTGCCCAGAGTACTGTCTGGTTTTCCATGGCTTCCTCAGGGGCAGTAGAGCTGTCCCTCTCTGTATTGTGCTTCATGGGGAGGCTCTGGGGAAAAAGGAGTATCTCCAGAGGAGGCAAGTTCTTCAGGAGGAGCCAAGTTTGGGTCAGGAGGGACTATGACGTGTTGACCAGGTCAGTCTGAGCCCCTTTCAGTCTTTGCTTTCAGTGTTCCTGTATTGTTGGGTCTAAGCTTGTATATATTGAGGTGCTTCCACTCAACTCCTAGTGAAAGAAAATGCTTGTTGTCCTCTAGTAGAAAAAGGATTTTTGATAAATTACCAAACTTATTAAATTTTAAAGGATTTTAATTAGTTATGTATGGTCATATGTAATTATATTTTTATTCTCAGACTTTTGTGCATAATAATTGTATTTTGGGCTTAGGTGCTGTGGACAGAGCCTCTGTTCATTGTAAAGGTAAATAATTACAATTCTGGTACTCATCTTCTTTCAGATGTATTTGTTGGGTTCTGGGATGTTCACTGTAAAAGAACTTCTTCAGGAGAAGAATCACAGGTTGCACTTAACACTAAGGTTTGTAATATTCTCCTCCATTCAGGAATTAATTCTCAATTCTTGAAAGCATGCTTCAGACGTGATGAAAACTGTCTGTGAGATGTGATGAAAACCTATTGGTTGGTTGGTTTTCTAGTTCCAGGCCACTGTTAAAGAAAAAATATTTTATGTTGTGTGATAATTAAAACATGTAGAACAAGACCTTTCCAAAGTGGTGTATAGTGTTAGATATTGGTTCTAGTTCTACAAGTCAAGGAAGTATTGCCAAGACCTTTTTAATTTTTGTGCATTTCATCCCATCACCTTGGCATATTTGTCCGTGGAGTGATAAAATAGAATATTTTTAACTGTGCTGATGTATAAAGAGCCTGTGATGGGGACAACGAAACCCATCGAAACAGGGTTATCTTAGCTATTTGGAATACTTTGGCTTAGATAAATCTCGGCTTTATTTACTATTTCAACACCCATCTGTTGCTAAATAGTGTATTTATCAATATAATGCACTAGGAATAGAAGGAGTCCCATTACAGCAAAATTGAGTGTAATTTTCTAGTTTAATTCTTATTAGAAACTTTAGTGGAAGGAACGTGACTCGGGAGGGAATGAAAAAGAGGATGTGAGTCTAATGCCAGTCCTTAAGGTCTAATCATAGGAATCAAACCACACTCTTGAATGCCACTGTGAAACTAAGTTGAGAGTTGGGGAAGAATGAAGAAAGCAAAGTGAGATTAAGGAAAGAGCTCTGATATGTAAATACACACTGTAGTACTATGTATTGAAAGTAGGACAGGCATCCCTATCAGAGAAGGCAAGGGCAAGTCAGTTGAAGGGGATAAGCATAATCAAGAGACTGAGGAAAATGGTATTGGTATCAGTATAACCAGCACTGGAAACTAACTATGATGAACTCACAGAAATTTCTTAGCCCAGACACAACTAACAAAACATGGGAAAAGCTTTTCTTGCTAAGAGAAGAGATGGGTAAGGTTTTCAGCTTTTCCACCATGTGTTGTAAAGAAAAAATATACATGATTTAACAGGGGAGAGCGGATGAGGGAAATGAATCACAAAAGGCACCAAAAGATTGATGTTGATGATGGGTAAGGTAGTCTTAATTTATCATAACTGTGAAGATGAGGGTGTTTTGAGGGAGCTGAGGAAGAGGAGGAATGTGATGGCAGGAGTTTCATCATTCTCTGTTATACATAGTTATTCTGTTAGGTTTATTCTTCCATGACTATGTTGAAAATGGACTTTATTTTACTCTCTTTTTTTGATATCAAGTATATTCTGATTATCAATGTGTATGAATACATACATGTCTTCTGATTGTCATGTACCCCGTCAGATGTGTATGCTGGATGCTGAGTAATGTCTATAAACATGCTGCCTGATTTGGTACTTAAACCTATTCTCGTAGTCATCTTGTGTGCTTATTTCTTTTGCCTCCCCAGTATTGTCTGTTCCAGAGACTTTATTTTTGTCTTAGTTGTCCCAGCATATTTTTACGTGCAAACAACAATCTTAAAATACCGGTTAGAATCTATCTTAAAATAATAACAAAAAAGTCCCTGCCAAAATTACTGTGTGTCATGGGTGGGGCAGAAAAAAGGACAGCTGTGGTAGATCTGGGTACTGGTGTGTATTTAAAACCCAGTAAGACTAGAGCTTTTACCTCACTTGATTCTCTGTCTCTGACTCACTCGCTTCCCCCTCAGTCGTGTTTATATGGTCTCGGCTTCCCTCCCCAGCAGGGAGATGAAAACTACTGGTCTGGGGAGGTGGGGCAGAAAGTTGTGTCAGTTTGTGCTGTGCAGCTCCTCAGCTGTTAGTGACCTGTCTCAGTTGTTAGTGACCAGGTCCCTGGGGATCTCTGGCATTTGTTTTCATGCAACTTCCTGATCTCCAGGATCTTCCTTACATCAGGGATCTTTCCGCCATTGCGAATCTTCACCTTCATCTTCCTAGACCACTTTTCAGAATCCTTCTTTTTAACATCAGCTTTTCTTTCTGAAATATCAGGCCCCTGTTTTTCCCAATCTAAATAGTCTATCTGCAGAAGCACAAGATGTGATCAGCTTCCCAACTGGTGGCCTTGACTGACTTCCCTATTAAGTGGAAGACTTGGGATGTGCTACTTCTGTTTAGTCCATGCATAATCAAAACTTACCAGTTGCAGCTGGAAAGTAGCGGGCTACGGACTGTGAGTTAGAAAGTTTGGTTTCAGACATTCACACACACAGGCACACGCGTGTGTGGATGTATGTCCGATTATCTGCTCCCTGTGAATGCCTACAATTTAAGCTGGTTTTGCCTACAACAGGCTAATTGTAAAATCTGAACTCTTTCTGGTTTTACAGAAGTGTTGAAACACGTACATAGTTTTAGGTTGCCTTCAATTAGGAGATCTGCACAGCATCCCTGGAGAATGAGGGGAGTGTTTTCCTTTTGGTGTAACTCATTATAAAAATATGTAAAAGGAAGTTGAAAAGCTTCCTATTTAAGATGTTCATTAATTTTGAAGATTAATAGTCTTTTATAAGTGTTCCCTTGTTGATAAACAGGTCCACCTCCAAAAAAATCTCAACGCAGAGTATTTGTTGCAGGTCGGCTGAAAGTGACCGTGTAGGTAACATTACAGTTATTGGATGGCAAATGGAGGAAAAAACTGACGAAAGACCTCCAGTGACAAGGTCACCTGATACAATTAATGGAAGGGTGAGTATGAGCACTGTATCAAATTCAGAAAAATGCAGATTTATTGCCAGCATTGAAATAAGCTAGGTTGACATCTGCTGTCAACTTCCCTGTACATCTTGATATTTAGTAGTGCTTTACTATTTCAAAATACTGTAAAGAGCAGCCTTATGGTAATGAAGTGGTTTTGTATTTTGTAGAACTCTTGGTGCTGATTTTGGGGGTTAAAAGTCTTAGGGAAAATTTTAGTTTGCAGTGACTAAGTTTTAGCTTCAGGTGCTCATGCCCTTCATCAGAATAGGCTTGTGGTACTGTACGTTGGTGCATTGATGACCAGTTTCACAGAGATGTGGTATTCCAGTTAACATTGTGAATTTGAAGGTTGCACTCAGCAAATGGGGATGCTCAGGGAATTTCCAGAATTTTTACAGGCAACTTAAAAGATTATAATAAAACTGAGCATGTTTCTTGAATATTGGATTTATTTTTTTTTTTTCTGATCCCTAAATATTTGTGTGAGAGCAGATATTTATAGTGCTTTCTCAGCGTAGACATATGCTTAATTATGTAAACCTTATGTTTTGAATAGCCTGGTGATAATTGCACTCATATCTGTGTATCACAGTCACAATGTGGATTAGTATAATTTAGTATCCAGCCAGACTTGTAGCTGCCACATATTGGTGCAGTACCTTTAAGGACTCTGGAGCCGTGCTAACATAAAGTAGTTGAAGGGCTGGATGAATATGTTTACAGAATTTTGAACTGTGCAGTAGAAGTAAATAGGAATGCTTACATTGGAGGGTTTAAGTGGATTTATTATTTCGGCCTGCAGTATTTTTTGTCCACAGTAAACATATTTGAAATATTTATTTTAACCATGCATTATGTTGAAGTCTGCATCATAGGGTCATCACTGCATATTGCCCTGGCAGTGAGGTTTTATTCTTTACTTTTTGTGGTTTTTGTTTTTGTTTAGACTGTGTTGCCAGTTGATGAAAGTTTAACAGAATCTTTAGGAATCAGATCTAAATATGCTTCATTAAGGAAAGACGCACTACTGAAATCTGGTAAGCTGCTGTGGGCTGTAACAAGTAGGCTTTGGGCATCAGTTAAAAGCTAATCTCCTGCTGTCTGCCTGTGGCCCCAGGGCATTTAGGCAGATGTTTCATTTGAATAGGAACAGGCTGCTGACTGAGCAGCCCTTTGAGGGTCGTACAAGAATAAATTATTTTATCATATGCACTATTTTGTATAGTGAAAACAGCAGAAGTAAACTTTTGTCATTAAGTTGACTGTAGTATAAAATTTTCCATGCAATTTGCTAGTCTGTTCCTAAGAATTGTTGTGGGGTCAGGGGAGGGACAAAGGAAAGCAGTTGCTTTAAAAAAATATTATTGAAGGTTAGATTTCCTGCAAATGATTGTATGAGAGGAAAACGCACAAAACAAACAAACAAACAAAAGGTATTTAAAAAGTTGAATATGTATTTCATTTCTTTACCAGTGTTTTAAATCATTTGGAGGCTCTTCCTGCAAACATTGGAAGAACGGTCATTGCAGAATTGGAAAGCTAGACTTTGATGCCTGGTTCAACCCGATCTTTACAGCAGTGTGTTGCACCACATTAGTGAATCAAAGCCATTTACTTTTTAAAAGGAGAGACTTTGTATGCTTTTAATTCAAACCTTATGCCTAAATAACATGATTTTAATTCTTCAGTGTTTGGTGGCGCCATTTGCCGAATGTATCGCTTCCCAACCACTGATGGAAACCACTTGAGAATCTTGGAGCAGATGGCTGAGAGCATCCTGTCGCTGCACATCCCTAGGCAATTTGTGAAGCTTCTTCTAGAAGAAGATGCAGCAAGGTGGGTTCAGGCCAGTTTACATGTACGGTTATACAGTAGTGATATGGCTGTTACTGAGTTACCAAGGAATGTATCTGTGTTATTGCACAGAGGCACTGGAGGAAAAAAATAGCAAAAGCTATGCTAATAGCTATGTTTTGCTAACAGCAACTTGCTGTTGCTGACTGTACAGTTACAGTGAATAAGATTTCACATCAAGAGTATAGAGATTGAGCTTGGGTGTATGGTAATGTACAGAGGTGCTGATGGGAGACAATTGTTGGCATAGTGAACGCTTAAAATCATGCTGCAGTTACCTGCACTTAGGGGTTATCTCTTGCTTTCACAAAGCTATTGATAAGGCCACAGAATACAGTATTCCATAGTCGGGTGACTGTGTTAGGACCAGCTCATTAGAATACTTCATCTTTTTGTATCTATAATAATTTCTTTATTTCAATACACTTCATTTTTTAAACAGAGTTTATTTTTCATATAAAGAGAAAAATGAAGTTGAATTGCAAATTAAACATATCTCAACTTTTCATAGGTGGGGGGATGTCTGGATAGATAAGACAGCATAAATGAAAGAGTAATAACTCCAGCTGCTGAGAATTTTGAGAAAGGAACAGAGACAACACAGAAACCAACTGAGCAGAATGAATAATTAAAGTAGCAGACAGAGAAGAAGAATCTAAATCACTTTGAAGGTGAACTTTGAAAAAGTCAGTTGACTTCTGTGCTATGAAAACAAAGCAAACATAGATGACAAGAGCACTGACTCCACTCACTGAGTTAAGAGATGGCTTTGAGAGTCAGAAGAGTAGTTTTGAATGGAATGCAAACAGAATAAAAGCAAGTAAAATAAGACAGTGTAGGACAGTAATGACTTTTTTCATTTTAGGAGGTGAGAGGGAAAAAGAAATCTGTTAAGCATTTTGTAGGTCTATTCTGAATTTTCTTCTTTTTGAAGCAATTAACTCTCTTCCAGGCAACATACTTATTTATGAGTTTTACTTCCCTATATTTGTAGGCTGTGGTTTGCAAACATAATGGTTTGTGTATTCTTTATAAAAGCCAAGATTGGGATGGTAAAAGAATTTTAACTGTATTTTTGACTATTTGGGCTTTATTTTGGCTTTGTTTGAATCCACTCCTAGAGACCTAGCTAAGCCTGACCTTAATTAAAAGTAAAACCATCTAGTGTTCTCATTATCCTATATTAATATGTTTCAGTACCTTTGGGATAGAAGTCCCAAAGTCTTTTGTGAAAGAAAATAATTTTAATCCATATTAGCAGGAAAAAGTTGTCGCCAGTGCTTTCAGGCGTACTCATATTTTGCAAAAATAATAAATTATCATGGGAAAATGACAGTGACTTTTTGTAATCTATGTAAAACTAATGCATGACATGGCTGAGTTTCCACAGTTCACATTGATATTTTAATTTTTTTGCTGCTGTTGAATTTTGTTTTTTAGTTATATGCACTTAGTAAGAGCAGTCAGATTTTAGATTCTAGAGAAGGAACGCTGTATCTTGCCTAGATGTCCTGCTACAACTTTGATGGAGGGGGCTTGGGATATGCCATTATGCATTTAGAAATGGGTTATTCATTGTTTATTTTAGATCTTTGTTTCTCTACAGCTTTCCTCACAGTAGATTTAAAAGCACCTATTCATTATGAGGTACAGCCAGAATAATGTAAATATTTGGCAAACTTATCCATAAGGTGCAGTCTGTGATTGATGTAGTTTAAGGACTTGAAGATAGTAAAGGCACAATTTAGAGTGATTGAGGGAAAACGGTGTGGGACAGTGAAGTTTTTTAAGGCATTAGCCATGAAATGTGACTCTTCAGAGGCTTTTGCTAAAATTATATAGAGATCAATAGATACATACAGCGTACAGTTGTGGGTTAATAAGCAACCCAGGTGATTTCTAATAGGACTTTGTATGGTCTGAATTGCGTGGCTCAAAGGTAAATAGGACTTTTTTGTAATTACCGAGAAAGACTCCCTTGTCTTTGTTCAGTTGAGGTGACCCTCAGTGACATGCGCAATCACACTTTGTATTCATAGAGTCTCTCAGATTTGGCCAAGTGGTCTTTTCCCTGTTCTCTGTGCTCCAGCCCAGAGGAATGCTGGACAACTACACAAGCACAGCTGCTTCTGTCTTAACATCTGGTGACTTTTAAAATGTCCTTGGATAATCCCAACTGCTGTCTCTTACATAAAGCTCTCCTGGGACAGAGCTCTTTGAAAGGAAACAACCAGAGGGATATTTTGACTACCTAATTATTTATGGCATGCACATCCCCTGCTGCCTTAGCCCTATGGGGCAAACAAGTAATCTTGAAGTATTAAACTGTGAATTCACTTCAGGAAGACCTGGGCTTTAGATGGCTAGTTTTGAGCAGGGAGTTTGTCAAGGTAGTTGTAATAGCATCTTATGCAGAAGCAGTTTACAAAATGAAATTGGAAGCGTCTTTTTCTAAGTCACTGATAAATATAGTTTACACTGTTGCCTATTGGCAAATCAGTCCTGGAAATCTTGGGTTTTCTTTGAAATTTGCTTCCTTTTGATAATATCCTAAATACTGTGGAGTGAGAATTGCTCTGTGAAACGTCTTAAATTATATACAGACAATTGATTAAAACCATGGATTGGGGATATTGGGAGAACTAAAAAAAGAACTTCTGGGTCCTTTTGACAGATTATTTTTTTATCTTTTCTGGGGTAATGTGCTGTTGAATTGTGTCTGGTGTTGACTTGTTTACTTTTTTCCTTTCTTTATTCCAAATACTATCCTAATACAGGAAGACAGTAATACAAGCATGACATGAAATACACTGACTATTTTCACAGCAGCACTGTTGGGGAGCAGTATGTAACACAGGATTGCCATGTGTGAGTGAAAACCTAGCAGTGAGGGTGCAATGGGAAAGCCAAGGGTTTTCCTGTTCATATTTAGGGGTATCCAGTTGTCCTTTATTCAGCCTACAGGGAAACTTGAATGCCTGAAATCCAGAGTCTCAGATGAAGGTTTTGTTGGCTCCTCTTTTGTCTCTCCAAACACTTATTGATGCTTTTCTTCCCTGCCTGGCCTTCTAAACTGTTGTGTAGATACCTGGCCAGCACAGATACTCCTTGTACCTAATGTCAGAGAGGTGCTAATGTCCCACCTAAACTCTGTCACAAGTTCTGATTTAATTTGAGAGCCACCAAATTTCTGTGCAGTAGCCTAAACAGGTCCTCATTGTCCCAAGTCACCTGACATGATGACAGTGCCCATCATTTGCAGATCATCATATAGTTTGAGAACTCCCACAGAAAGGTGGGAAGCTTTGATTTTTACCAGCACCTGAGGCTCCTGGGGGAATACACTGTTCTCTGCCTGTAAGGGATGTATGTACCTGGGGATAGCACTCAACAGCTGTGCTTTGGGATGTATGTTTGGAAGCATTCCCAGTCTGGTGACGAGGTAGAGCAGAGTGAATTGAGAATGTGTCAGCTGAGGATGATGCTACATCGATACAATGTGAAACTCATTCTTGGTCAAGTGGGCAATGGAGCTAAACACTTCTCTTTTTCCTTTCCATCCCCCCTCCTAGGGTTTGTGAACTAGAAGAGTTGGGAGAACTGTCTCCTTGTTGGGAAAGCCTTCGTCGTCAAATAGTTACTCAGTACCAAACAATTATTTTAACTTATCAGGAAAATCTAACTGACCTGCACCAGTATAAAGGTGATTTATTTTTCATAATAACATGATACTTCTCAACTGTGATTGTTAGTGCTTCTCTGAAATTGGGAACCCAGAATATTTTGGTTTGATGAGTAAAAAATACTAATTTTAGATTTCTTTATTAATACTTGTTGTGAGTTAGTTTTCTAATGATCTGGGAATATTTGTCTGCTTTATTAATTCTCTTATTTTACCCTAAAAGTAGAGAACAATTATGAACAGTAACAGAAAGATTTTTCTTTTCTCTGCTTTACTTTCAGCACATAGCAAATGATGAATGAAGCTCCTTGAATGTTTTAGCATAAGTAGAAAGAAAAGGTTTTTATACTTACTTTTCTCCTTCATTTCTCAGGTCCTTCATTTAAAGCCAGTAGTTTGAAAGCTGATAAAAAATTGGAATTTGTTCCTACGAATTTACATATACAGAGAATGAGGGTCCAGGATGATGGAGGATCAGGTATTTGTTTCTTTCTCTCTTTGTTCACCTTATTCTGTTACTTTTCTCTCCATTTTTTGATTTCCATCCTCAACCGTTTAGCAAAGTTTCTACAAGGTACTGCTCTGTAGTGCTAGTGCTACTTGCAATTTTTGGAGCACCTTCTATCCTTGGATTCCAAATCTCTTTGCAAAAGAAGAGGTGTAAGTATAATTATTGCTATTCTACAGGTGGCAAAGCTAGGTTCTGGAGTTAACTGTACCCTAGGTGACACAAGTCAGCCTTTGTACTAGGGAATATGTTGGATTAAGCTGCTGTGTCCCTTCCAGTCATTTTGAATTGCAGCAGAATAGAAAAGGTTCTGACTGTTGTTTATTGTTAAGCTTGTGCGCTTTTTTTCTGCAACGATTGTGCATGGTCGTTGAAAATCACACCTGTTTGTTCACATCAAGCTTGTTTCTTCATAAATAATCTAGATTTTCCCTTCTTTTAACAGTAATTCCCACTAACAATGGGACACACACTTTTGCCACGTATCATTGTGAGGAATTCCAGTAACGGCAGGTTTTGTGTAAAGACCAATTTTCAAGGCTTCTTTTTCACTGGCAGCATTCTAGATTAAAAAAAAACCAGGACCTGCATTCAAGGACAGTTCTTTCACCTCAAAAGTACTTGTTGGATTTCTAGGGCCTCTAAAACAATTCACTTTTCCATGTCCTTCAAAACATTGGCACAAAGTTTTACAAAAATTACTTTCAGAGTAGTTTTTGAGTTTCCGCAATTGTTTGTCCCCATTAAAGATGGCACGCTTTCATTTGTAAGTCCTTTTTATCCATCCCAGATCAGAACTACGACATAGTCACCATAGGAGCACCAGCAGCTCATTGTCAAGGCTTTAAATCAGGTGGCTTGCGGAAAAAGCTGCATAAATTTGAAGAGGCAAAGAAACAGTAAGTAGAAATGTTGTTATGTCAGCTATTATCATGCCTTTTTCTCCTGGTCCATGCTCAGTGATTTGGAAAATCACTCCATTCTATGTTTTTGTTGCACTTCATTCAATAGTTCTACTATACAATGTGAAGATTATTCCATGGTTTTTTTCCCAGTGAAGAAGAGGGAAAACAGTTTCGCCTTTTTCTTAACATATTTTTTATTTACTGCTGTGCTCTTTCTAATAGTCTTTTAAATTAAATCTTTAATTTTCCTAAATACTTTTTGGTTTGTTTAGTTTAGCTATTTTAGGTGTTGGGTTTGGGTTCTGCCTAATTGTGGATTAGGAAATTTGTCTGTAGAACCTCCTCAGCTGCACTGCAACATGCTTTCAACCCATTATTTTCAGAACGCTTTCACCCCTCTCATAGCTTCAAGGTCCTGTTGCTGAACTCTCTTTAGTATGGAAGAGCAGTGCCTGATAGGGAAATTCTTTGTTGGCAACTTGGGTTTAGTTCTGGGACTATTGCTGGAGGCTTTTCTGCGTTGCCTCAAGGTTTATGCACAGATTTGGCTTCTGAATCTGGCCTCGCTCTGCTCTACAGGCAGAATACTTGATCTCCACAGGCCTGTCTTCAGGGACTGTCTAGTTACCTCTCTGGAAGTGCAACCATGTGTAGTAGAGGAAGGGGCAGAAATTGGGGAGGTCATATGTGCTAAAGGGCATATGAGCATGGCATCCAGTCATGTAGAGATAATGCTGTCTGGGTCTGCATTACTTTGGCTGCAGTATGGAGAATTTAAGGAACAATGAGAGCAGCAGGACAAGGAATCATTGTAGCCAGGGAAAAGGAGACCTTGATAACACACTTCCAAAGAAAGGGTTTGTGGGACTTGGAGCTGATGGGAGGAGGGAGTGATGTGGGAACCAGGCACTGCCATCTGCAGAATTAATTTTGGCAGTGGAGAAGTGAATAGCAGCATCCTGTGAATATCGGTCAGGTATGTATACTGATAAAAAGATTGATGCAAAAATATGCCTAGTGTGATTATTCCTGACTTACAGAGTGCAGTAGGATGGGAGTAGAGGAAGCTGGAAACACTGGTATGCTAGGCTCACCCTTCCTGTTCTTTTTATACTACTATTACTTTCTGAAATAATCTTCTTCTGTCAGCTTAGCTCCTGAAGTGGGCCTCAGTCCTGCAATATCTAAGTTGCCGTGTCTTTCCCCTTCCCCCCCTCCCCGGTAATTAAACTGATCGTAGAGCTTAATTTCTATCCAGTACTTTTCCTCTAAGCTTTGCAGAACTGTTCCTCCTGGGTTCATGAAAACTGCAGGTTCAACATTTGAAGAATAACTTTCCTTTTAAGTACTTGTATGTTATCATAAAAGCCAGTATAGTAGAACTGTGAGATCCATCTCCTCGGTTTCATTGTAACATAGGTAGCATTCAGTTCTTTCTCCTCTCATTAGCAAAACTGTGCTTGGTGCATCCACATTTCCCCAGAACAACACATGGGCATCTGGCAATCTGTGTTTTTTTGCTTACAAGTTTAATCGTTATGTACCCGCCTTGTTGCAAAGATGACTCAAATAAGTTATTTCCCCAAACATCCTTTGTTTTGTTTTCTGCTTTTGGTATTTGCTAACAATCTGCTAATTTTATTTTGGTTTTTTGTTTTTTTAGCAGTTATGAGGAGTGTTGGTGAGTTTTCTGTTTCTGAGAGTTCTGTAGAGAGGGTTTCTGTTCTTTGGGTTTTATTTTTCTTTTCTTTCTTTTCTTTGGCAAAGATCTGGTGTGTTTTAAAGTGTGCAGGGCTTTTTAATGTCATGCATCATGATATCCCTAATTGTGCTCTAAGTAATTGTATCTGCTTTGTAGAACATGATGTGTGAATGATTTTCATCTGCAATGTTTGTTTTTAATGAACAGCTAGCTTCCTGGCTCTCTCTGATCATATAAGTTAGAAAGCTGAAGTTCAGAACACAATAATTTTATGTCTTTTCCTCTGCTATTTCCAGTGAAAGCTGCCTGGAGAAAGAAACTGTCTGCCAGAGATGAAAGATAATTAAGATAACTCTGCATATTTTTAAATCCTTATGGTGGTAGATTGGGCATGGTTTATATTTTTGTAACCCATGTCTTCATTTAAACATTTTCACTTAAGTTTATTTTTCTTCATGTTGTGATATTCAGTGGTATGAAAAGGAAACATTAATTGATGGATCAACAGCGCAGAAGTTCTGTTCTAAATTATTCATGTTAAAGGTTGAACCCCTAATTCACTGAGAGCTTAAGGCTGTTTTACGGTTTGCTGATACAGTACAATGAGAGCTGTTCATTTGAAAAAGCAATTGCAGGTTGGAAAGTAAATATATGTGAACTTTACACCATAAATTTCCCCCTGATCATCCCAGCAAATGTTTGTGATCAAAAAAATGTAATAATTCTAAATCAGATTTCAATATGTTGCATGGCCTTTCCTGCCAAATACGTCTTTATGCATGTTAACCACACTGTCGTGGAAAGAAATTGCTCAGAGGAATTGTCACTAAGATCACTGGTCTATGGAGAGCATGAGTCACGTACAGGGAAAGTCCTAAAACCTGAGATTAATTTGCTGTATGGTGTAGCAGTACTGGGGAGTGGTTGTTCTCTGCTCCACCCAGGTGGGTGACCAGAGGGACACAAAATAAAAATCACTTCTGCATTGTATCCTTTGAAAACAAATGCCCCATCTTCGCTTGTAATGGAGCTCAGACAGATGCTGGGATTAAGCTCCCCCCTTGCTTTAATATCAGTGAAGGGACAAGAATTGGTATTTGTGGCAATGATTTTAAAGCATGCCCCATGCAACCCTCCTGTCTTACCTCACAGACACACTGCAGAAATTAACAGCATTGCTTTAGGAGTAGCAGAGGAATTCACACTCCTTAGAGGTCATGATCTGAGATAACTGTGCCTGAAAAATAAACTCTTCTCTATGTAGTCTCTAAGAGTAGCTGTGTCCGTCAAACAGTGCTGAGATTGGTGCAAACACTAGGTTCTTCTGTGCTGTTAGTATGCTGAAGCCATTCATGACTGGAAACAAATAAAATTAAGATAATATACAATTGGTGTTATCTTGTGCTTGATGCCATGTTATGAACAGGCATGAACACTTGATGCCACGTCATGAATACTTGTCACAGCTGGAGCTGAGGTAAAGGCCTGATCTTTGTATAGCTTTCTTACTGGGAGGGAAAAAAAAGCATATTGTCTGGCAAAGGGAGTATTGATTGGTTGATTCCAAATTGTTAACTAAGAGCACAACTTCAGCTTAAAAGTAGTTTTCTAAGCTAAAAGGCAGCTTTTGTGAACAGCTCTTCTCAGGTAGGATTAAATCACCCTTTAGAAGTGCTGTTCTCTCTCCAGTAGTTACAGAGGGAGTCCAAGCATCTTTCTTGGGCTGGATAAGCAACTTCTGTAGACATCTAAACTTAGAGGACATAAACTATTCTCTTCCACTGCCAAGTAGGCAGTACCCCAATATAAAGATATGTTTTATTAGTATAGTTTATTTCCCTTACTGTTTAGAAAAGCCCAACATTTGGTATTGCTTTATATTGTTACAGCTGGGTTTATAATAGGGACAGTTGTACCATGTCCCTTGTTTAGTATAGGAAAAGTGTACTAACAGAAGCTACACCAAGGGCAGAGTCCTTGGATTAGCCTGGAGATATACTTTGTTTTTTATGTATCATAAGATTGCTGTTGCTGGTGTAATTTAAATCAGGCTTGCAATAGAGGAAGGGATATACTAGCAGGAGGATTTTTTGTTAATACCACAGTGTTTGCATCATGGATCTGAGTGACATTTCTGTGTTAGAAGGAGTGCAGATTTTCTTTTCATGGTGCTAGTAGCTATGTGATAAAATAGGTTTGTAAACCAGGTCTCAGTGGAGCATCTGCGTTGTAAGGAGAGGGAGAGTGGGGCAAGCTGTCTTTGCAAACAGTGGTTCTGTCTCTGATGGCAAATCTATCATCCACATTCTCCGCAGCAAAACTGTCCCTCTGGTAAACAAGTTCTGCCCACAGTCCCTTTGCATAAGGGATTAGTAAATCTGCATCTGAATGCTTTCAGTAAAGGCAGAGAAGGCTCTAGGATCATGTTCCTGCTGTGCAATTGCCCACTGGCCTTTCACTGTTGATTGCTATCTTAGGTAAATTTTTGTTGTCTGCCATTAATTCCCCAGCATGCTACTGTAATGTGCATAGCTCTAGATCAATTTTTCCCCTAAAATCAGTCTTTCTTTTTCAGCACTTCAACAGGTTCCCAATCCATAATATACATCCCACAGGACATTGTTAGAGCAAAGGAAATTATTGCACAGATCAACACTCTGAAAACGCAAGTGAGTTACTATGCAGAAAGGCTCTCAAGAGCTGCCAAGGATAGATCAGCTAATGGCCTTGAAAGAACACTTGCCATTCTAGCAGACAAGGTAAGAGAATAATACATTTCCAAACTGAAGCACAGTGTATTTTTTTTCTGTATTCCCACAGCATTCTCCTGGAGAAACTGGCGGCTTGTGGCTTGGATGGGTGTACTCTTCACTGGGTAAAAAACTGGCTGGATGGGTGGTCACAAAGAGTTGTGGTGAATGGAGTTAAATCCAGTTAGTTGGCAGTTGGTCACAAGTGGTGTTCCCCAGAGCTCAGTACTGGGGACCGTTTGGTTTAATATCTTGATCAGTGATCTGGACAAGGGGATTGAGTGCACCATCAGTAAATTTGCAGGACAACACCAAGTTGGGCAGGAGTGTTGATGTGCTTGAGGGTAGGAAGGCTGTATAGAGGGATCTGGGCAGGCTGGATCAATGGGCTGAGTCCAACTGCATGAGATTCAACAAGGCCAAGTGCCAGGTTTTGCACTTGGGTCACAGCAACCCCATGCAGTGTTACAGGCTTAGGAAGGCTGCCTGGTAGAAAAGGACCTGGGGGTGTATTTGCAGGACAACACCAAGTTGGGCAGGAGTGTTGATGTGCTTGAGGGTAGGAAGGCTGTATAGAGGGATCTGGGCAGGCTGGATCAATGGGCTGAGTCCAACTGCATGAGATTCAACAAGGCCAAGTGCCAGGTTTTGCACTTGGGTCACAGCAACCCCATGCAGTGTTACAGGCTTAGGAAGGCTGCCTGGTAGAAAAGGACCTGGGGGTGTTGATCAACAGGGGCTGAATATGAGCCAGCAGTGTGCCCAGGTGACCAAGAAGGCCAATAACATCCTAGCTTGTATCAGAATTAGTGTGGCCAGCGGGACTAGTGAAGTGATTGTCCACCTGTTCTTGGCACTGGTGAGGCCATACCTCAAGTACTGTGTTCAGTTCTGGGCCCCTCACTACAAGAAAGACATTGAGGTGCTGGAGCAGGTCCAGGGAAGGGCAACAGAGCTGGTGAGGGGTCTGGAGCACAAGTCTTATGAGAAGCAGCTGAGGGAGTTGGGGTTGTTCAGCCTGGAGAAAAGGAGGCTGAGGGGTCCTTGAAGCAGACCTGAAGGTTGTAAATGACAGTAATGGCCAATCAGCTTGCCACAAATCGTCCCAGTGGAGGGGATATCCATACAACTTTGTAGAGTGCAAAAAGTAATGTGACCCCATGTAAATATATTATTATTATAATATTGATTCTAAATGAGTACAGTGTGTAAAACTGATCAGTGGGATTGTCTACAGCTGGACGTGTATATATAATGTAGAAGGACTTGTTTGTTGGCCGTTGTTTTTTTTAATAGACATGTAGGCCAGATGCTTTTCATATTTACGTAACTCACAGAAATCCTTCGATACAACACCACTAATAAAAATAGGGAACAAGTTGCCTTGATTAGTGGGTTATATCTGCAGCCCTACTCTTAAGGCTTGTAATTTCAGACAGAACGGTGGAGGTTAGGCATGGTCTCTCTGGTGTGGCAACTGCTGTGTGGGGTATAAAAATGTCTGTGCACTTTTCTAAGCTCTCTTTGAATGGAAAGTGTAGTGCAAGTAAAGATTAATTGCACATTTATTAGTGAAGTTTTCAATGATTGCAAAGCTAATATAGTAGTACAGACTCTGGGAATGTACCATTTTTGTTTTGATATCCTATATTGCTTTTTAAGGCCATTCTGTAAAATGATTTTAAAGGCACCTTAGACACTCCTAAACAATGGTTAGTTTCTTTTACAGAGTATGAGTGTTTTTTTTTCTTTCTGAGAAAGAATACAGTATAAATTGTGTACAGAATAATGAAAAGGTGTTAAAATGTAGGGGATTTATTGCTTTTTAGACCCGGCAACTTGTCACAGTCTGTGACTGCAAGCTGTTGGCAAACTCAATACATGGACTTAATGCTGCAAGGCCAGACTATATAGCTTCAAAAGCATCTCCAACCTCTGGAGAAGGGGAGCAAGTGATGCTAAGGAATGATCAAGATACACTTGTGGCCAGATGGACAGGAAGAAATAGCCGATCTTCTCTGCAGGTGGATTGGCATGAAGAGGAATGGGTACGTTTGCTTAATGGAGTGATGAATATTTTTGATTGTTTGATGTGTTCTTGTGTTTATAAACTCTGTAGCTACTCACCAGATCTGCACAGAATGAGTTCTTTGGAGATGCTAGTCAACTAGCAAAGACACTTCCCCCATCCTGTGCTTAGTTACTCCTTGGCATGGGGGTACAAATGGGCTTTAATAAATATTTCTGGATCTCTTAAACTGCGGAGGTTGTTACAGTAGGTGCATGGCTTTTCTGAAGTTACTTCCAAGGGAAAGTAAATAGCTTTTAAAGTAAAAAAACCTGACCATACTACAAAGGGGTCTTACACTTCTCCAAGATAAAGCACGTTTTGCGTGTTAGCTGTAGAATTCAGCCTTCCTGACTTCTATTCTCATCTAAATATTTAGAACTTGCAGTCCCTCTCTGTTTTGATTACAAACAGCATTTTAAAACCATTTGCACAAAGAATTTAAATGTTTTTTCTTACCAGACTGCCAATTGAAATGAGAATTGGGCTATGTAAATTCTGTCATTGTGTAATATAAACAGAAGTGAATTAAACCTCAAAACCAGTCAAGATTAATTAAAACCATTATTAATATGGTGAAGTATCAATTTAGAAAGGAGATCCAGTTCATTCTGGAAATGGATCCTAGCTAGTTTAATTGTTTTGGCATACTTTGGCTTATGGTCAAACTCACAGTAATGAGATACCAATAAAGCCAATTCAGTTATTTAGATAGTAATACAATACAGTAATTTAATCTGTATTCACTCAGTTATATGGGAAAAAAGATGTGTGATTGTATACAATTATTATGTAAAACATGAGTTTCAAGAATAAACAATAGTGCCAACTGGAAATTGGAACAATAATGCAGGAAGCGGGAATTAAAATTGCTCAGCAAATTTACTTAGAAAATAGCTTTGCAATTTATCACACACAAGTCACATCACTACATATTGTTGACGTGCTGGTATACATTAATTGTATATCCAGAGTTTGTGTGTGCACAAATGTAAATGCAATAGTCCAGAGGAAAATTTGCAGAGAAATTGTGACTAGAATCGCAGAAGGAAATATATTGCCAAGGGATTTGTTGCCCAATGTCTCTTTTATTTTTAAATTGAGAAATAAATGTTTTCTTTTTAGGAGAAAGTTTGGTTGAATGTTGACAAAAGTCTGGAGTGTATTATCCAGAGAGTGGACAAACTTCTCCAGAAGGAGCGCTTGCAAAGTGACAGCTGTGAAGATGTTTTCCAGTGCGACATCAGCTGTACTAGTAAGAAAGGTAATCGGGACACTCGTGCCTACTGGATAAATCCAGAAGATTTAAATGAGAACTCACCATCCTCACCACCTTCATCATCCTCACCACCACCTTCATCCACACCATCCTGTGCATGCCATTCTCTCAGAAAGACAAGTGCGTATGCCAGACACTGCTTCTCACTGCTGCTCTCTTGCTGTGCGCTGGCATCATTCCTAAGCCTCCGTCACATCCTTCCATGTGTTTTTCGTTCAGCAGTGGCGTTAAGCACTGATGTCAGGCAGAAAGGGAGGGTGACGTACTGCGAGCTGCTAAGCCCATTACTTATTTTAAAATCCTGATCCCACTGAAGGCATTGGCAAATCCACTGGTGACAGTGGCGTTTAATTTTCACGCTGGGTGTTTTAAGCTGGTAAAACAAGTGTTTGGGTTAGCTTATGTCAAACACCACCTCTGGTAGCTTTCCTGTTGGCTTCAGCTTCTTTGCAGCAATCAAAGCTTACCTCTATAAAAGATGAATAAAACATGAGGGAAGTGCAGGCACTACTGCAACAGTAATGGTCCCAGCTGGGCTGCCAAAGCATAGGAGGGGAGCCAAGAAGTCCCATTAGACTGAGCTGAACTTGGATGAACCCGCTGGAGTTTAAAGCAAATTTTAGCCCAAAGTGTCAAAAGCTGTGGTGCTGAGGCACTCAATTAGTTAGACTTCTTGTAGCTGGAAGGTAGGAATTGGCAATGCTAGCTCTCAGTGGAATAATCCTATCAAAATTTGAGGTAAAGTGGGTGCTGGAGTGAATCCAGCATAATGCCACGAGCATGTGAATGAAAGATATCCTTATCAGTTTAGGTTGACAGTTTTGCAGCCGTGCATAAATTTCAGAATTATTTAAATTTTTATTATTATTATTTATTTTATTTACATAGGTACTTATTTGATTTATTCTCACATTCTTTACAAGTGGTCACTATGATTTGGCCACTTTATAGAGCAGGTGTGCCAAGCTAAGCTCTAGAAAGATTTTTCAATTTCACAAAAAACTCTAGAAAGATTTGTGTTTTCATTTCCTTTTCCTGTTCTGTCTTATCGTTTGATGGCCCTTTGTCCTTTAATGTGTGTCTGTGACTTCATGTCCATCCCATTTTTAATGTTGCAGTTGAAGGCAATACCTTAAGAAAAAGAAAGCAAGAAAGAAGTTAAAATAAATGTTAATATATTTTTGTGTAGCTTTGTACATGTTATGTATGATTTGCTTATCATCTTAAATTACTACGTTTTTCTGGATTAGACTGACATTTTTGTGTATTATAAAGGAACAGGAGAGTTGGTTCTTGTTTCAGAATGTATTCTTTATTAATCTTTGACTAAATTTCTTCTACCAGTTTGATATATTTAAATGTTTTTGTTTGCTAGCTAATTTACATGAAGTTTTATATGTATTTACAAGAAAGTTTTATCAGTAAATGTCAATGCACCTTCATATCAATGACAAAAAGTTGTGGATTTTTAACATTAAAAAGAATAGAAAAAAATCTCTGGTGGATGGTACCAGAAGCTTTTCCCAAGACAATTTGATGCTGAAAGCATTTTGGAACAACAATTTTCTTCCATTTCAGTCAATCTTTTAAACATACATTGGATCTTGACACTTATGCTATATAAAAGTGGAATTAGCTGCACTTACCTACCAAAGTGCCAAGAGTTTCCGTAGCACTTCCCTGCTATTCCTCCAAAATAGGAAAGAACCTTTCTATTTAATCCACAGAACCTGGGACAGAAACATTAAATCAAGAAATGTAGCAAGCTTTAAAGCTAAGGGGTGTGTTTCCAAGTGAGAAGACTAGATCTGAAGTCTGACTGTCAACCAATGTTGGGTGAATTTTACTTTAAAAATCATGTAGAGAGAATCCTGCTTCTTAGATATCTGAGGCAAACAGTGTTTGTAGGTCTTGGTGAGCAATTTGAATTGTACTTGGGAAATGTATTGTAAGCCAGGGTAAGCTGAGTATTTGATCAAATCTGCATCTCATCAGATGGAGTTCCTAAGTAATGGTCAGTATTTTTGACAGAGGAACAGGTTGAGTGCTATGAAAAAACCCTTGTCTTACTGAAATCAATGGGTATTTCCCCATTGAGTTACTTTCCTTGACTTCACACCAAATCTGGCCGGTTAAATGTTTTTAAATTAGAAGAGGGTAGATTTAGACTAGATATTAGGAAGAAGTTTTTTACAATGAGGGTAGTGAAACCCTGGAACAGGTTTGCCGGAGAGATTGTAGATGCCCCATCGCCGGAAACATTCAAGGTCAGGTGGGATGGGGCTCTGAGCAAGTTGAAGATGTCCCTGCTCATTGCAGGGGGATTTGGACTAGCTGACCTTTAAAGGTTTCCTCTGACCCAGACCATTCCGTGATTCTATGAATTTCCTTTCACTGTCACTTTCTGCAACTCATCATGGGAATAATTGAGAGACAAAGAAGATCCTTTCCCTAAGTTCAGAATCACAGCATTTTAAAGTTTTTATTTGTCATTTATTCAAAGAACTAACTCTTTTTCTGTTAGTAATTCTGAATTTTGAATAGATCATACTGAGCAGAGTGCAGCCAGAAATTTTTTTGAAAACAACGTAAAAACCAACAAACCAAGATAGTTCCAGAATTGGTAAGAGAGAGACAGTACAATGTTACTGAAGGACAATAGAGGATCTCCCCAGAAATGAATGTTTGTGAAAGAAAAAACTGCCTGAAATAGCAGAGGGGAGATTTCAGAAATTCTTTTAACATTTATTTTTGTTATAGGCTTAGGTACTAAAATTGCATGGGGGCATATAGCTTCTTTAATGAACATGATGAGTTTTGATTTACTGAGAGGTTTTTATCTGGTATTGTCTAGTTCAGCTGATTGTCCTAATGTGTACAATTGAATTTTCTCTTGTTATTTTCAAATTCATAATTCACTGACTAGTGAATCTAGATATAAACAATAGAAGTTTAAATCCTGTTATCTTAATAAACTACTTTTCATTAATGCAAGACTTGCTATAACAGGGTGCATATTATTTTTTTACTGTTTGGATTGCACTGTAGTATATGTTCATCTGACAGCTTGTTCCTCCCATTGAATTGAGTGTGGAACACTCACAGGCTTCACTGGTGAGGTTTCAGCCCTTAATATAAAATTTAATGCTTGTGTTACCTATCTCAGAAATTGTGTAACAACAGAAGTTTGTCTAAGATAGCAAAGTACTGTTTCTTTATTACTCTTGCCTCGTGGGTGCCTTAATGTAATTTTCTGTTAAGTGCATTGAACTTACTGCTAGTCTTTTGCTCTTCTGTTTAGCAGCCTTACTGCCAGCTTATTCTATGATTGCACAAAACCAGTGGTTCTCAAATTGTGCCCTGTGGATCGCTGGGGATTGACAGTAGACTTGCTGGTAATCCACAGAGAGCCCCTGAGCTAGCAGGTACTGGCTTTCCTCCCAAGTCCCCATCCAGGCATTCCTCTGATCAGAAAGAGTGGAATGGAGGAGACAGCCCATGCCCTTGGTGCCTGCAGGCAAAGCAGTATCTCTGCTGAGCTCCTCTTCACTCAGTGAAAGTGTTTGAGAACCCTGGCATTGAACATTTGAGTTGCTTATGTTTAGACTATGTTGCTGCTCCTTAATCATGCATGTTGCCCCTCCATTTCTGTGCAGATTGCAGCCCCACTCCAGAAGAATCCGGCCCAGGTATGTGCGTTCATGGCTTCTGCTTCTTCTGAAAATTGCAGGGGTTTGTTCATAATTAAGAACTGAACAAGTGCCTTGCTGTTGAGCTTGACCATTTTGAAATGGTAGTGCGATACCACATGAGTTACCTAAGCATACTGAGAAGTTATTATTTCCTAAATAATAGTGCATGGGGGTATCTGGTAACTTCTCATGTCCAGGTATGGGAGAGCACTTGTTCATGGTCTCTTTGGTTTCTCCAGTTGATGTGTTTTAGCAGACTGTTGTAGGTGACAATGATTTGAAGCCTGTTCCAAATGTCATTGAAATCTGTGGGAGTCTGATATTTCAGACGTTTCAGACATGCCCTTTTATATGTGCTGTTGAGCTGGCCTTTCTGAATGAGAACTCGAGCAGAACATGGAGCAGTCAACAAGGATGATGGAAAAATCTCTGTTGTGGGTACACACCAAGCAGTGTTGGGCATTGCAAATCTAATGTTTCAGAACACAGAATTTAGGAGACTTTCATCCCACTGTTGGCCTTCTTTCCTCTGTCCTTGTAGTTCCACACACTTGTGTTGCATTTACAAGGTCTGAATAATAATATGCCTCTGTAATACCACTCTCTCACAGCTAGATGGCTGTAATTTCTCCCATTTGAGAGCAATTTTATCTGAGTTCAGTGGAGGTTCAGTCTTTGAACTGTTACAGAATGGGCTCCTGGGTTTAGTGAAACGAATGGGAAATAAAGCCCAGGTGCAGGTATGATTTTCATCTTCACAAAGTATATTAATGTTCTTCTCAGCTATCCATCCTGCTTCCTTCTATCACTGAGAAAATGGTTTTAAACGTTAAAATACTCCACAAGGTTTTAATTCTTGGAACATCCCTTTAGTTTTTTGCAAAATATGAATGTGGTGCATAAATGAATAATATTTTTATATTTTTAAGATAAGAGTAATTAAAAGCAGTCAGGTCACCCCAGCTGGGTACTCAGATATACCCAAAACTGCATCTTAAACTTATGTGGCTGAAGCTGCAGTGTAGTGAAGCACTTAATGCTTGCTTCCCTCTGAAGCCAAATGTGATGTGACTGTGTGCCAATTAACTGGGTTGCCAATTATACTTTACTGGCTCATGGCTAAGCAACTACTACTTATTTAATAGATCTCTTTTTTAGAGATATCAGTCCTTGCAACCTTGACCTAAACCCAGGGCAGCTGCAGGTGCCCAGTACTTTGATTTATGAATGCTAAGGTGTTTTTTTAATACAAAAAGACTAAAAATATCTTTTCAAAGCTCTGGAGGACATTTATTTTAATAATACTTTTATCGCTCTGGAGAAGAGAGACTCTTAGGGGGGAAAAAAGCAAAACCTTTTCCTGCCTGATATTATGTCCTTTATTTATACAGGCTTTATGTATTAGGTTCTCTTAACAGGACTTTATTTTTTTTATAAAATAGTCAGTAGTGCATTGTCAGAGAAGGTCTACTATGTGAACTCATAGGCCTTCCCAGCATCCCTCCCTCCTTCGCTCCCCCCTCCATCCCTTTTCAAAATACCACATTTCAAAGTGTACATTAGGGTATGACTGTTGTGGTCAGCAGCAGTCATAAGAAAAATAGCAAAGATTTACAGGGCCAAGTCTGGCCCTTATTTACCAGCCAGAATTCAGTTGTAGCTGTCAGAGCGGAGACTGCAGGGTTTGTTTCCTGCTGTACAATAATAAAGCACTTAATTATAAGCATCCTCCTGGTTTGTACAGTGCCAGTTTTTAAATGCAATAACTTTAAACATGAATTAGAGATGGGATTTGTGTCCCAGACATACCAACAGCTAGCTTGGACTAGGTTTCCAGCTGTTGTAAATCTGTAGCAACTTGCTGCAGCTCATTGTTTCAAGCCCTACGTCAAGTCATCCTACCTATGGAGCTGCCCAGTTGAGTCTGATCGTCTCATAGAAGATAACAGCAGAGCTCAGGGTAGATTTCACATTAGAATTCGTGCCTCGTGGTGTTTGAACGTGCCGTTGATAGATTTGATAGAAAATATAGTTTCAGTAATAACGTTCTGTTAGGAAAATTAATGAGAGGAAGACAGAAGGACAGGAAAATCCAGGTGAAAGTTGAACACTTGGAGTTCTTTAACATTTATTTAAATGCTGCCAATGAAATGTTGCAACCTGATTTGAGCCTGGGAGTGCAATTCCTTTTTATTCCTGTTTATTGTTAATAGCAACTACCATTGACTAAAAAATTGAAAGACCACAGGTGACACCTCAGTGAACTAGGTAGCAAAAAACATTTAGAAATTTGCAGACTTAACAATGTTGTGGTTTTTTTCATGGCCGAAATTTTAAACCAAGAAAATACACAGCACAGAGGATTTTTTCCTCATTACCCCAGCAGAGCCACTGTATTGCATATGAGTACTGGTAGAAAAAAAGCATCTAACAATTGCTTTATCTGATAAACCCCTGATATACCACCCGTATACTTTGTGATTACCACAGATAAACATATCTTTCAAATGAAGTGCTGCCAGGCACACTACAATTTTAAATCTCCACTGAGTTAATAACTATATACGTGTATGTATATCCAGGCAATGAGATGATGATGATGTGCTGGAAGATCTTTTCAGTTCTTTTTGTCATTCTCATTTGTTTATAGAAAAGCTCTTAAGTGCAGCAAGAGAAACACTTAGTATCATCTGTGTTTTGCTTTTTCACTGTTCACGGGGCCATGTCGTGGCATCTGATTTATTTTTAGAGAAAATACTTAATAGCATATAAAAGAAAAGCTGTAATTCCTTGCCTGTTCTTTTGATGTTTCCTGTGGTTTTTTATGGCAATGGAATAGAGCCAAACAACTTCCCCTTTGTGTAGTTTATTATGTTATCTATCTGCTGCACAGAACTTCCAAAGTTGCCTTCTTTGGCTAGTTATCAAAGAAACTTTTATTATTACTAGCTCTTAGTCTTGCCTTTGAGTCAAAATCCCAAATAACTTCCTTTCAGGGGCCTGAAGTGTCTCATTCATGCAGGTTCTGATCTGTACGTTGCCTTGTTCCTGCAGCCAACTGGGCTGGGGATTCTGTGTGTTCTCTTTGTGACCTCTGGTTCTTTTTAAAAATAAAACATAATGTCCTTCCCTTTAAAAGGTGAAGTGTTCTGCTGTTTCAACTTTACATTAAGGAGGGCAAAACCAATGCCCCTATTTCTAGGGGCAATGCCCCCTGTTCTATTTTCTTTTTATATTGCAGAGAGGATGGATTTTGGTATAATAATTTTTTGTACAGTGATGGTGGTTGATTAAGACAAATGATGAAAGAAGGAAAGAAAAGAAACTGAGGTTGTGGGGCATTTTAAGGCAGAGCAATCTCTTAGGGAGAAGGAAGGCACCATGTTTGGGCTACTAAAATAGTAGTAGTTTGGCAATAGTTTGGCAACCCAGTTTCATTTCTATGCTTCCTGTGTAGGACCTTGAACAGAGTCCCTCTGGGACATATCTCGTGCATTTCAGTGGAAGTCAAGCTCCGAACTACCTCCAGGGACCTGGCTAACTCCCATCTAAATCACTATACTTAGTGTTTCTTGCTAGCTAGCTCTAAGCCTTCAAAGCCACTCAGCAGACAGAGGTCACTTAAAAGAGTACCTCCATGAATTTTTCACTTCTCTGCCTCATTATTCTTATTCTTACCTCACTGAGGTGCAACAAGGATTAATAAGATGGTGAAGCAGTTGAATGATACACCTATGGGTCCACAAAATATTGAAAGGCAAGATATTTGGGAGAAATCTCATTGACAGAAATGGCTAAGCAGATGTTCACTATTTCTGTTATACGATGGACTTCATACTGTCTGTCCACGTGTGCACTATGAAAGGGTGTGTTTGAACACAGTGATACACACTTGTGTATATAGATATTCATCTTGTTATACTTTCCAAATCAGCTATTGTATAGCCTGTTCTGTGGGCACAAATCTAGGAGCTATTACATGGTCGGGAAAAGTCATGACAGCCTTACAGAGTAAACTTCTCCATGTTTTCCTCATGTGATAACCACTCTGTAAGATTACTTAATTAATAACAAGAAGGGAGTAACCAGCCAGCCAAAATAAAACAGGCTCTAAATATGAATTATCAACAGCTTTGACGTGCAACAGGAAGTTTCTTAATGCGTGTTTGTTTCAAATAAAGTACTTACAGTGCTGTTATTTTTTTCTTTTAACCAGGAGAATGGAGCGAAGCTCTTTATCCCTTGCTGACAACGCTCACAGACTGCGTAGCCATGATGAGTGACAAGGCAAAGAAAGCCATGGTCTTTCTATTAATGCAGGACAGCGCCCCGACAATAGGGCTCTGCCTGAGCCTTCAGTATCGCAGGGATGTTGTCTTCTGCCAAACTGTAAGCAAGCCTATATGCATGATTTTGTTGCACTTCAACATGTGGTGGGGTTTATCTAAAATACAAAAGATGAGTGTTTTCAGAATTTTTCAGACCTATTCTGCTCTCAGGTTTGACACTGTGATCTCCTCTCACAGGCTATGCCATCCTGCCTTTACTGGTCACTTACATTCATTTGACAATATATAACTTCAGTGTCCCCTTGGATATATGTTCTCTATTTAAAAAAAATAAATATCCCGGAACTAGTGAAAATATACTGCTGTTTACAGGAACAACCTTTGCCTTCCAATGGCACCAAACTAAAACCAGAAGTAAAATGTGAAAGAGGGGGAAAAAACAACTGATGAGCAGAAAGTGCACTCCCTTGGTTACCTTTTGTTGTTTTCTGCATGGAGAAAACCAACAGGACCTGTGGTACCTAAGGAGAGAAGTCCAGCTAAAGGGAGAAAAATGGGTGCTTTTTGTTTGCTTGTTTGGTTGTTTTTTTCTAGAATTTCTGTTTCTGAGCCTGCTTGGGTCTCTTGTGTCACCCACTGACTGACAGGTGTCTGCACTTAAAAAAACCTTCCACGTTTCTTCCGTCCACTAGACTTGTGTAGTGTGTCTACTTGCCCGTGAAATCAGTATCTCATTTATTTATTTCAAACAGCTTATGTATTGGACATTGTTTGGTAGGGCTGTTTTCCCAAAATGTAATATCTCATAAAGATAAATTTCTGTACAAAACCCACTTCATATAGCAGATAAATTTTAAACGTAGTGCACTGATTATGTTTACCCATCATAAACATAACTTTATTATTCCCTTTTGTTTAATTCTGTAGCAAAGTCATATGTCTGTGTGCATAGCATATGGGAATCACCTGGGAAATTCCTTTGCTGACAGAGTGAATTAAAACTAGTATTAATCTTAGATCTTAGTACTGATCATAGTACTAGGTCTTCAGGACCATGTCCTGAATATCTTGTAACACTAGAGGTTGGATCTTTGTGTAAAGCAAACAGGAAGTGCATTTTTAAGGTTTTTTAAGATGCCATTTTAAAACAAAATATCATTTATTCATACTATGAAAATTCATGAGCTGGAACTAGCTATGTTGCTTTTCCATCTGTAACCAAAACAATTCTCCAAGGAGACTTTTTTTGTAATTCATAAGTTGTAGACCCTAATGTAAGTGATAGCTTCCAGAAACCAAATAGATGTGAGAGGAACAACAGTCCTATTTTGGGAGAGCTTGCAAGATGAAGGCAGTGTGCCTTAAAGCTGTTTTTATGAAGGTTTTAGTTACTTATTGTTTGGTTATCTCTCTTCAGCTGCAAGAAAAAAGAAGAGTGACATTTAAGGGAAAAGACCATCAGTCTGACAGATTTTATGGCACCTCTTATATGTGATATTGTTTCCATTTGGTGCTGAAGAGCGTTTTTTGTCTTGAATCATTTCACTCTACTTTGTTTTTTCTCCCACAGCTGACAGCTCTCATTTGTGGCTTCATTATCAAGCTGAGGAACTGCCTGCATGATGATGGATTTCTAAGACAACTCTACACCATTGGCTTGCTGGCACAGTTTGAGAGCCTGCTGAGCACTTATGGTAAAGGCAAAGAGCAAGTGGGTGGTATTAGCTGTCGAGTCAGCAAATTCTTCATTAAATTGGCTACAGCAGAAAATGAGTGTTTGGGACAATCTGCAGCTCAGCTACAAAATTATTTTGAAAGCTGAAATACAAAACCAGATTATATCTGAAGTACTTAATTAGCTAACAACTCTGAATTTCTTCAGATTTAATTGAATTACTTCTAAAAGATAAAGTGTACTTGCCTTATAATATAATGTCAAAGTTTTTTAAAAAATGAAAACATATCGTAGGGATCAATTTTTTCAGAAAAGAAGTGGATTAAAGTTCTGGTAAGCTGGGAAAAACTGCCCGAAGTATGCTTTTTGAATTTTCTGAATCTCCTGTTATCCTACAGTATGAAGTGAGATTGAAGAGAAAACACAAAAAGGGAAAGTACTTCACTCAAAAGTGTTTCACTCCTGTGTCTGAACAGCCATCTGGATGCCAGTTAGGAATGCTTTACTGTACAAATATGGAATATCTTGTAACTTTTCCAAGAGAAAGGATATCATGACTATGACAATGCTGAGACGTATTTACTAGTATCATCTAAATTGAAAATCAGCATATAACCTACTTAAAGAATGGTAGTCTTATGCTAGAGAATTGGTGTTTTCTAAACTTGCTAAACTCATGAAGTCAATCATGATATTGTCTGTAGTCTGTAGGTCAAGGTAAAGGCCTGGGCTCCAGAGACTTTTTATCCATAGAACTTTTTTATGAGAGTGCTGACCTCCAGTCATCATCAAATCTATAAAGGGAAGTTGTATGTAACAACTAATGATTACAATTAACTTTTTCCTCCTTGGTTTAGGTGAGGAGTTGGCAATGCTGGAGGACATGAGTTTGGGAATCATGGACTTGAGGAATGTAACCTTTAAAGTAACTCAGGCCACATCAAATACATCTACTGACATGCTGCCAGTCATCACTGGAAATCGGTAAAAAAAATGCAGGGGGAGGGAGCAGGAAGTAGAGTGGGACTGCAGACGGGAGAAGCAGTGATACTGCACTTGAGATGAATTATGTGCTTTTGTACTGTGCTGGTTTTCTCCCAAGAACTTCAAAGAAATGCTTTGAAGTGGACTTACTCATTTTTACTGATGTTTCATTTTACAGGGAGCTAAGCTGACAAGAAATATATGGCAAGGCTGAAACCATGGCAGTATTGTTGTACGAATAAATATTGTCTTGACCTAGCCTTCCACAATCATAAGCCAGAAGTATTCAGTGTTTTGTTGAGCACTAGTGCTGTTTTTAAATGTAAGACTGACTTTTGAAGCTGATCTCATTGTTTGAAATTCACTGCTGTTGATCAGTTGGTCAGTGCTTTACTGTATGCCACTAATGGGCCACTGTTAGCACAATGGGAGGTAGAACCTGTATCAGGCAGTTGACGGGCTGCTACGGAGGTGAGGCTATTTAGGATCAATTTCCAAACTATGAGGGCCAAGCTGGCTTTAACTTACAGATGCTTGTGAAACACCAGACTGCTGCTCAGTTTGGCCACTTGTCTGAAAAAAAGATATTTTCAAGTTTGAGCTTAAAATCAATTTTTGTTTTAAAAGTCTGAAGTAACAAACATTCGTATCCTCACATAAAGTGGAGTGGGACTAATCTGTTATGGCTTTATTACAATGGGAAGCATTTACAACAGTCACACTTCAATATGAATGCTGAAGCCTTCTTATCAGCTGGCCTTGCACTGGTTTCTGACATGGGGCTGATGGGTCCCAGCAATAGACTTCTTGCCCTGGGGGAGCCAGTTCACAGATGGGGATGAAGCTGTGGATGGACAGAAGCCTCACAAAAGTCAATGTTTTAATGTTTCTTTATTTCAGAGTCTTTAGAATCTTTTAGTTTCGGATTTGATTTTTGGAGGAAATAAAGCTTATTTGATTACAGTGTGCTGTAACAAGCTCCACTGGAGCTTTGCCCAGCTTTGTCCACATCTGATAAAGACCTAGAATTCTCAAAGATAAAAACATTTAGAGGCATTTTGTTAAGTTAAGGTTCACATGCAATAAAAAGTACCTTGGCTGAAGGAGTTCCATAGTACAATCATGTGTGTTACAGAAATGGCTGAGACCTGTGGAAATGGCTGACAGAAAATCCCTTTCAAAGAAAATCTTTAGTTGAAACTTGCCATCAGTTATAGGACACTAATCAGCAGGAAACCAATCTTTGTTTGTTTCAGATCTGATAGTATTACTTATTGTTTTGGTGTCTAGATTTTACTCAAGAAAGAGAAGAAAGAAATCTTGCATATTTATTTTTGTGCAAACTATTGGAAGCTTTACATTTAGAGATGAAAATAGGTTTTTGCTTTCAGGCATAGGATAGGATTTGTGTGTCCGTCCAATGTAAATGTGCGACAGACCAATTTTGCCTTATTATATACTTCTCAAAGCTTTTTTGCTGTACTTGAGAGGATTGGACTGTAAAGCCTTGGATGTAACACCCAGGGTATTGCTGCTAAAACCCAGCACACAAACCACAATAACTTGTGTCTTGGCTGTTCCAACATAGGGTAATATGACATACCTTAGTTTGCACTGATGTTATAGGGTAAGATAAGTTGCGTTACCTCATGTTTGCCATGAGATAAAGCATACGCAGTGCTCTTTGCTGTAGCTCAGCTGACCCAAGGTAACCTCTTGTGCTGTAGGAAGAGCTTGTAGGTCTGAGTCATAAGTTTCTGTATGTTAGCTCCCCCTTCAATTTATGCTTGGGTCGCTACTGTCATTGCCTCTATCCTTCTGCTCAGAAATGTCAGTACTACTGACTATATCCAGAAACGTATCCATTTATGTATGTGCATCAGCACTAGCCTTTACCGCTTTATAATCAGATCTACCTTACTCTGGATGAGATGGGAACATGCCAAAATTTGACTTTTTCCTACCCGAGTTATACAAGAGGTGCAGTATTAATGAGCAGAGCAAAATCAGCTTTTGTCAGGAAATTGATAGATCTGATTGAAGTGTCCATGGGGATATAAAATCAACATTGCAGGTTGCTGCAGGTTTGTTTTTCAACTAGAATAGCTTTTCTGATTAGGAGCGAGCTGTGGCAGTTCCTTGAAGTCCTGATACTTACTTTTTAATAGTCATATTATGTTCTAGATGTTATCCCTCCTTACATAAATAACACGTTCTCGGAATGTAGCTTTTTGATCTTTCTGTCTAATAGCTGTTTGTTTATTTGCAGTGATGGATTTAATGTGAGGATCCCTTTGCCAAGCGCCTTGTTTGATTTGTTGCCGCGAGAGATTCAAAGTGGCATGTTACTGAGGGTTCAGCCTGTTCTTTTCAATGTGGGAATCAATGAGCAGCAAACCCTCGCAGAGAAGTATGTATTCAGCCATGCAAGCTCAACCTTAATGGCAGTTCAGCAACCTCCTGTTCTGAGGGAAGTATGTCTCTATGGAGTTGCACTGTTGCATTACTAACAGTGATTCAGTTTCTCCAATAGACGAGCAAGGGAATACTAAATGAAGCTCTCAAATGCAAAACAAACAAAAGGACATAAAGACTGTGTCTTTATATGACAGTTATGGAGTTCCTTACCTCGTGGCACTGAGTCTAGTGCAGGTTTAGGTGGTTCAGAAGTGAATTTACAGAAGAGAAAATCTGTCAGGGGCTATTTAACAGAGGTGCTGCTTGTGACTCAAGACCTCTGTGAGTGACAGATCACTAGAGGCAGAGAGATTATTCTGAGTATTGCTCTGTATTTACCCTCTTGGTTTTGCACTCTCCCCTACACTCCCTTGTCTGGCCACTGTCAAAAACCAGGATAATGGACTAGATGGACCTTTTTTTAACGTATCTTTGCAGTACTTCTGTAATGGAACAGTGTTCTCGTAAAGCTGAAAAATATAATAATTATGTAATTATATTTGCTAGGGAAACTGTTCAGTTTTGAAAGAGCCACCAGAGCTTCCCTCTGTTATGGCCATAACCTGTAAAGAATACATTGACAGAGCATTGATCTAATGGAGAACTCCAGTGAAGTCATGCACATGCGTGTTGTGACAGCAGCCTTGGTACTGGGGTGAAGTGTACTGTGTGATGGTGGACAGCTAGAAAAAGTCTAACAAAGGCATTCCAGCAGTTACTATTGACCTCTGTTGCCTATAAAGGGAGCCCAAGGTGACTAACATAGTTACAGATGTCAACACTTTGTGTGCATATCTATGTATGTAGGTACAGTTAGATGAGATGAATCATGGCATTGTTGATAATATTTGTTACATTCATGGTTTATTACTCCTAGATCTATATTTCTCATTTACATATCTGAAGTCAAAGTTCTCAATCCTACCTACTGAGGTTAGGTTTATTATTGGGTTATGAACTAAAGTACTAAATCCATTATTAAAAGGTTGAATTTAGGCAAAATAATTTACCAAATGGGTATTTAATATTGAAAGAGATACACAAAAACCCAAGACATCTAAAATACTATTTTCTACAAGATTTTTCTTTCACCTTCCTTCCCGCTTTTCCCCTCACACTGTTTTTCTGTAATGAGTCACTACAACACTTTGCTTTTCCCCTCACACTCATATATTTTGTTTTTCTGTAATGAGTCACTACAACACTTCTCTGTTACACTTTACTCTGCATTTGAATGGATAGGAATGTTATGGGATGAATCTTCAAACTGTTTTCTGGTAGTCCTATTTCCAAGTGCAATTGTTTTGAAAAAGACACGAAACATTCTACCTTGGGTATGACTGTTCCCTTCTTCACCTTTTGAAGGTTTGGAGACACTTCGCTACAAGAAGTAATTAACATGGAAAGCTTAGTGCGGTTGAATTCGTATTTTGAGCAGTTCAAAGAAGTTTTGCCTGATGATTGTAAGTATTTGGTAATTAATGGCAAATTTGGTTGAACAGCACAATTCAGGCTGATTTTTTCATTTGTTTGCCTCGTGTCAGTTTTTTTAATGTTAACGATACGCCAGCATTAGTAACCTCCAAGAAATGACACAACTCTGTTTTAATACATTAGTACTAAGTAGAGCAGATTCAAGAGGTTTAAAGGTCTGTCTGATTCACTTTCCTTTTTTAATTTACTTTTACTTTACATCTCTAAGTGGCATTTTGTGCTTTATAAACATGCATGTAGGCAGTTAGATTGCTGTGAGGAGAAGGCATAAAAGTGACATGTTATGGCAGCAGCACTTTTATGTGCAGTTTTTGGTCATGTTCTCTGGACTTATGATAACCTGCACAGAGAGCAACTGCCAGTTTTTAGGAATTTAATCGTTTTGCCTCTGCTTATCCTTGGCATTTGCCTGTAATTGTTGTATCTGCAGCCAGCAATAGACAAGTCTAGCATTTGGAAGAGAGACAGTATCTATGAACTTGAATTTTACTGGTTATATAGGAAAATTTCTTGCTTGTTACTGTTTTTTGGGAGGCAGTGGCATAAATGTTATTTAAATGTGACTACGAAAATGGTGAAAATTCATTGATTTGTTATTATTAGTATCAAACTTCTTGTAAGCTAATTTCATGGGTCCCACAATTGCAGTTTTATTGCAGAAATACAAATGCAGCAACATGCATCAGGATTCTGCCTATTAAAGTACTTTATTGTACTTTCAGTTACCTTGGACTTTTTTTGATGCAGCTCAGAGCAGTCGCTGCTTCCCTCCTTCCAGGAATTCGTAATCCTGCATAATTAATTCTCTGAAATTTTAGCCGCAAAATTTTAATTTTTTATCATATGGTAGTCTAGCATCAGAATTTCTTGTAAAGTTCAAAAGTAAAGCAATTTTTGTTCTGTTTTCTCCCTGTTACTTTATGTCTCTGTCTAGTCTTCCATAACAATAGTTCTCATTCAGCTTCTTCCTCTCCTTTAGGATTTTGCTTGCTTTTCTTTTACTTCAGTCTCTTCTCTCGTCCCCAAACCATGTTGATCCAGTCACCTTTTATCTTTTGCCTTTTTTCCTGAAACTTTTTCTATGGTTGAAGAGAGTGTTTCTTGTAACTGAACACTGGCCAGCTTGCAGATTTAAAACTGAAAATACGAGCAGAACAGAAAATATCTTCAGAGTTTCTATGGAGAAACATGCATGATATCCTAGTACCTCTGAGGGGCAAAAATACAGGCAGTTACATGTATATATACATTTCTGAACAGTGTGTGAAAGCAAGTACATCCGTGACATACAAACCAAATTACTATACCAGTCGTGTTGCCTTTGTTCACTCTGTTGTTATATTGCTGTCAGATTCTGAGCCCCTGAGTGTATATTTCCAGTTGAGTTTAATTAAACCTGAATTTATTTTGTTGATGGTACTAAGTAATTAAGAATTTGATTTATTGTTGTAAGCTTTCATAGTTTCAAAAAAGCATGACTGTGTTTGCAACAGGCATGTAAGAGCACTTTCCACGTAACTTATCTTTGTAAAAGTGTTGAATACAGATAAAGAAATAGAGTTTGTTTTGTTTATTTTATAGGTCTACCTCGATCTCGTAGTCAGACGTGCCTGCCTGAACTGTTAAGATTTCTGGGACAAAATGTACATGCAAGGAAAAATAAGAATGTTGATATCCTTTGGCAAGCTGCTGAGGTATTTATTAATCTGGAGCATCTCTCCATAGTTCAGTTGATTTTCTGTATGCATATATACTTTCCCCTTTTTTATTACCGATATGTTTGAATTCCTTCATTTTCTTGCGTGTAGCTTGGAAATACTGCCAGGTTAAATCTCATCCAGAATGAGACATGGGGAGATAAAATTTATTTTCCACAGCAGTATTTTCTCTACAACTCATGCATTGAAGTTCTGCTCTCTCAAAGATGACAACTTTTTACATCCAAGTCCTACATAACATTTGTGTCTCTCTAAGGAGAAGTACAGGTGTGTTATCTGACAGAAGGTTATGCATGAGGAAGGAATGATGAATTGTATATCCCATTTCTAGATATGCCGCAGACTAAACGGTGTTCGATTTACAAGCTGTAAAAGTGCCAAGGATAGGACTGCCATGTCGGTCACCCTAGAGCAGTGTTTGATCCTACAGCACGAACATGGAATGGCTCCACAGGTCTTCACCCAGGCTCTGGAGTGTATGAGGAGGTAAGAGTTTGACTCCGTCACTTATTCCTAAATGAGGCACCATGCAAACTGCAGAGGAACAGTGGTCTCTGTTTCTATCAAAAGGAAAAAAAAAAACCAAAATAAAGTCAGAAAATGGTAATACTGGCTGCTAGAATTCATCCCTCCCTTGCATGTATTAGTGAGTTGCATATGCCAAAACTGGTTGTTACCAGGTTTGCATCAGATGGGCTTTAGATTCCAGTAGTGAATCAGGATTTTTCAGAGAAGCATGTGAAAATGTGTTTTCAGTTAATGCTGAGCTTACAGAACAGGAAACTGGTGCTTCTTTGAAAGTTGTTTAATGATGAGGTTGCCTGAACTATCAAAGTACGAGGTTTCTTAGTTCTAGATCAGACAGATTTCTCAGGGATGACCTGTCTTTTGTTCTTGGAAACACAGACACCTGCAGTTTGCACTGGTTTGCCACGTGTCTTTAGCAATGAAACACTGCTCACTGGGCGAAGTGTCAGTACGAGTGTTTCACAATACAGCAACCAAATTTCATCACAATGTGTCAGTGTGCTGTTGTCGTATCAATATAATGATGTTCTGTATTCTGAAGCAGCAGAGATGTTTAAATACTGTACTAAAAAAAGGAAATCTGTTTACTGTTGTTCAATGCCTTGTTTCAAGCACTGCTGGAAAACTCCGTAAGTCACATACCAAAAGAAAGGATAAGAAATCTAGCTTTAGTCTTTATCAATGTAGTTCAACAATGCTGTTCAGTCCTGTTTTTCAACATTCACTCTTACCAAATGTACTGTACTGTGTGTCTTCTCACCAAATTCTCTAGAGTGTTCAATTCTCTTATCCTTTCTGTATGTTTTTGCTGTTTGACCCTTTCTGACTCTTCAGTTACCTGGAAGGAAAATGTCTTATATAATAGCACTTATGGCCTCTTACACTAAGGATTTGTTTTTTCTGTCTACATCTAATTGGATGTCACTGGACCTTTTTATTTTCACTTTTTTGCTACACTTTTTGCTGCATTGTTACAGAGTTAGTACAGTACAAGAAAACTGCATTCAGAGACTAATTAAACCTTGATAGTAGAAAGAAAACTTGGAATAGCTTAGTGAGGGAGAAGTTATTAACTTAAAATGGAGCTTAGTGGCTCTCAAATATCTTTATTTAAATTATGGACTTGTCGACTTAGGCATCTGAAAGAAAGCTTTGTTGCACACTTGTTTATTTAGTAAGAATAAAAACTGAATGGCTATAATACTGGGAATCTTGTTACTTTCTTTAAATTAATTACTGAGTTAATGGTTTTTTTTAATGCAGTCCTGGACACAGTAGAGACAGAGGTTAATAATAACGTTGTTTTGGACCTTCAGACTATCAATTTAACACAGGATCAGATAAAATATTGACCCAAGAAACACATTGCTTTATGTTGGCCTACACAGGGATATTGGAAGAGGGCCAATTTAATCAAAACCTTTGGCTTGTATGTTCTAGCAACATCAGGGACTTGCCCTGAAAGACGAAAGACATGACTTGCTCTTCTGTTAAATCTTTGACTGAGAGAGATTGTGCAAAACAAATACTGACTAGTCCTGAAGGAATACTAAGATTAGACCATTCTTCAAGGCCATCACTCTTTCTTTCTTATTGCTCTTTGGGCTAGGTGGTTGTGTTTTTAAAATTATTTGCCAGTTCTACTCAGGAACAATGGCACAGAATTAACGAAGCTGAACAAGAGAGATAGGAGTGATTAAGGAACAAATACGTAAGAATCCAACCGCACCATTTCAGCTGGGACAGGATGACCTGACCTAGATGACAGACAAATTACTTCCAGGGCATTTAGAAAACTGGCTTTTACATTTAACTTGAGTCTTTTATTTGTGTAACTGTACTGGAAAATGAAGGCTTGGTTGAGTCTTGAAGAATTCTGAAGTTTCTGGGGCAGTTGGAAGGACAGGGAAGAAGTACTGTGGGACTTATTTCATCTCTTTTCTGCTGGTAACTTTCCAGAGAAGAAAAGCATCATTACTTACACTGTTCTTCAAAAATTGAGAAAGCACCCTCTTCTTCCATGTGATGTTGGTCTTCAGAGGTGTCAGTTTCCACTTACTTGTCCTTAGGGCCTTCCTTTCCTTCCTAGTGTTGTGATAATTGTGTATCTGAGATGGTTATGTTCAGTGAGCATGGACATCAAGGAGAGAACATTGAGTGCTCATTGTAGATTCTTGTAGAAATTCACAGATACAAGTTTGGGGCTTTCACCTTAGAAACAAGTATCATATTAGAATAAGCTCACTTTTCTGTAAATAAGTTGCAGCTTTTCCAGTCCTAAATCAGATATATGGTAGCTCACAGCCTATAACAGTAAAATCATGATGATACGTCTGGAAGTACAAGCTACAGAGGAAATGATTACCTGGCTAGTAAAGGCATCTCAAGAGTCGAAGTCCAACTGGATCAGGTAGCTTCTTCCATCCTCAGCAACGCCAACAGTCCCCACTAGACCTGTGACTTCCTGCCCTCCCTCCCTCTACCAGATTGCTGTCCTGTCAGATATGGCAGTGGAGATGTTTGTGTGAATATGCTTTAATCCAGTTTCAGTCAAAATTAGCCGAGGTAGCAAAATCCTTTACATGTTCAAGGTAGCCCAGCTCATTTTCATTAAACCATTTAGGAAGTTGCAACGTAAGCAGTTCAGCCAACAGAGAAGACCTGTCTCTGATAGGGGCTTTTGAAAAGCAGCTGGAAAGGGAGTGAGGGAAATAATCTCTTCTAGTTGCCATGGTGCTGGCTAAAAAGACTACATAATAAAGCTCTGACACTCATGTTTGGATATGTCCACTCACTGCAATAAAACAACCATGATAAAAAGCTTGGTTGCATTTCTTCAGTGGTTGATCAGCTTTAGAAATAAAATTGTGGTGGGTTGACCTTGGCCACCTGCTGGACACCCACCCAGATGCTCTCTCACTCCCTCATCTCAGCAGGACAGGGGGAGAATAGGTAAAGACAGGGACATCCCTTGCCAGTTACTGTTAGAGACAAAACAGACCTGACTTAGCGCAATGAATTTATTGCCAATAATTTGGATGGTAAGAAACAAAGACAAAAATTAAAATGCATTCCCCCAAAACCCCTTTTATCCCAGGCCCAAGTACTTCACTCCTTCGTTCTCAACTACTCTACTTCTTCCCACTCTGAGCAACGCACAGGGGATGGGGAATGGGTGTTTGAGGTCAGTCCATAACAGCTCTTCTCTGCTGCTCCTGCCTTCTTACACTCTTCCCAAAATCCACTGTGGGTCCTTCATACAGTTGCAGTCCTTCAGGATAAACCTGCACCTGCATGGGCTCTCCATGAGCTCTGGTTTCCTTCAGGAAATACTCACCTACTCCAGTATGAGGCCACAGGCTGCAATGTGGGTATCTCATCCACCGTGGTTGTCTCCATGGCTGCAGGAGAATCCGTGCTTCAGCATCTGGTGCACCTTGTCCCCTGCCTTTCCCGACTTTGGTGCTTGCAGTGGGTCCATTTGAGCTGGCTGGAACCAGACGTGTCCAGCATGGGGCAGCTGGGGCTGCTCCTTGCAGAGAGAATCGCCATACGCAAGCTGGATTAGCAGGGAATTTCCTGTATCTCTTACCCCGGTCCTCTCCTAGAGGTATTCTGCTGATGAATGTTTTGATTTAAGACACTGTACAATATGGTATACTTGGTATTTCCAAAAGGTGACTTTTCACCCCTTTGGGTGGCAGCATCTACATGGGCCAACAGTGACAAGGAAAGCACTTTCCAGCTGTTGCCTCCATTCCCACTTTATGTGTCTGGGCATATGTCTTTGTGTAAAATTGAGTAGTTTGATATTAATTTTTAATGGTAGAGATGTGGCATGTGATGTTCATAACATCTCATCATTTTGAGCCCTTCCTCCCTTTTTCCCTCTCCCATTATTTTTTTTCCTTATCTATATCCTAGAACACTGCTCTTCCTCCAGGCTATTCTGTTGAGCCTTTATCTACCACTTTCCAGTCAGCATTAGCTTTCCACTTACTGATTCTCCTGATCACACACACACACACACCCCCCTCCCCACTGCTACAAACGTAATTGGGATTTGTAGGCACCAGGAGTGAAAACCTATTTTGATCACCAATTTGGATACGTTAATCCAGATGAGAAATACAGTTGGTTTAGTTCTCTGCCCACCTAATTCCATTGGACTTGAAGTGTCGCCAGCATCTGAAGGGTATTTTTCTCTTTCATCACCTCCAGGGTATCTCTGATGTCTTCTAAGACGTTGTTGGTTCCTAACCTTGCTATGCAGCCGGCAAGGTTACGTGTCACCTTTTATGGATGCAGTGAGTGCATTTGTTCTGACAGGGTCAGGCTCACAGGTTGCATTTAGTTGTTGCTTTGTAAACTAAAAATAGAGTTGAACTGCAGTGGGTATAAGAGTGATCCAAAGTGAAACACCACACCACAAAGCCTCGGGTTGCCTGAAGAGGTGTTCTTCACTGTAGGCCTTTGGTGCTCAAAGCAATGGAGGAAGCAGGGGCATAAAGAGTTGCATGCATAAATTGAGGCACTTCAGAAACATGCATTTTGCAAAGCATATTGATACAGACTTGAATTCATGTGGAAGCAGAAGGATAAGCGGGTGGTTTGGGGTTTTTTGTTTACATATTGAGCAGGCAGTCAAGACGTTAAATTATTTCACTGTAGCCTACATGGAAAGATGTTTGAAAGGGTCAAATACTACAATGGTTATTCATGTTCAGCTTGCTTTTCAGAGCTCCACTTTACAGCATGTGGAAGCATGGCAGAGCAGCATGGGATATTATTGTTTGGTAATCTGAAAGAGTGAACATGGAAAACCATTTATGTTCAACCTACATGTGTTTATTTTCAGTAGACTACAGTACTTCTTTCTTATTTTTCTCTTTTATTCTCTTTCCCTCTCCTTATTTCTGTAATTGTGCTGATACATATTTTTGAGATGTTTTTCCACGCTTTCTTTATTTCATCTTCTGGTTTTGTTGTGCTTTCTTCCATGTTTTTTCATTTTCTTGACCACCTTGTGTTGCCATCTCTTTTTATACATTCATTTGCATGTCTGTCTTCCTTTCTGTTTGATTTTCCCTCCTCCCAACCTTCTTCCTTTTCACAGCATTGGAACACGGGAGGTAGTCACCCAGAAGAACTTGAGTGGCTTGGTGCCCATCCGAGATTTCAGACTAGATCCCAGCCTCCTCTACTCTATTCCTTTACTAGCTCTCAGCCCCAATTTACTGATTGTGTGGCTGTTTCTGAGCATAGCATACCTGGTGGCCAGATTACGTTGCAAGTGAAGATGAGGTTAAAAAACAAAAATAAAAACAAACAAAAAAAAGTGCTTGAATGTGTGTTGCCACTCGGTACCTGCTGGACAAAGGAATGTGTCATAGCATTGTCTGCCAAGAATTATTATTATGCCTTACAATTTTACGTTTCTATTGTACTAAACTGTAAATATACATCAAATTATTTTATCAAAAAGAATTGTATTGAACCTTTAAATTATTGTTCTGCTTTCAGTGCTTGTAACATAGTCTGACATTGGCCTGTTACCTCGTTACTTTAGCCGGCCTGAAGATCTCTTACCAAATATAGATTTGTGTTACTTGTTTCATGTATTCCAGAGAAAGGAACTCTGTCTGAAAAGAATTTGTATCTTTTTGTATATTTAAGGTGTATGCTAATCTTGCCTTTCATTTTTACGAGGTATGAAGAGAAAAACAAAAACACGGGTGGGGTTTATAAGAAATTATAAGAAATTTATTTAAAGAAATATAAAAATTTCTACCTTCATTTCAAAGCCTAATATCCAATTTACATTACTGAACAGTTTGTAAAACCATAGTCTTGTTCCTTTCTCATGGTTAAGTATGTTCTAATAGACTAGTGTACCCACTCAAAAAACAACTTGCGGTGCGCTGCATGCAGAATTATTTCATTCTGTTTGTAGATCTGCATTTTGTAATGTATTAAAGACATGAAGAGAGTGACTTGTGGTTAGGATGAGGATGTAATTGGCATTGGCCTGCTAATGATCCGTTATCTGTTTCAGGTGCTCTGTTATAGAACTTATTCTGAAACAGGGTAATTATCATCCTAGAGGTTAAAGATACTGGTCTTTAATGTTTCAGGCAAGAAGAGGGAGGTATCAGTTAGTTCCTTCAGTAGGTGGGTTTGAGGTTTTCCATCCGGCTTTGTTTTAATTACACTAGACTAAATATTACTGTTATTTCCATTTTTAAGTGTTGGACAGCTTTAATAAATTATGATGTTGATAGTGACTTAGAGATAAAGGAATGATGGTAAGTTAACATTTATTTAAGTGGTGAGACTAAAGCGGCTTACCTAGTTTAGTCATGCAGAATAATTGCAGATGAAATTTGATCATCACTTATATATGACATCAAACTGGGGGAGGCCTATGTAAACCAAAAGATTTTGTTGATGCAGTGGTCTGACAGAGCTTGTCAATAGCAATAGCTGATTAAAAAAAAAAAACTAACCTCATTTAATGTACTTTGCTAAATTCATGAAGGGATTTACTTCGCTTGGTGCCTGAGATGACAGAAAATTGGGCTTCTGAGGAGAATTCTTCTAGTACTGTGATTTCTATTTTCCACTATTATTAACTTGCTCACAACAAATAGGTAGCTATAGCTTTTATTATCATTTTTAATGGAGTTTGAAAGCTTCTGAGGAGTAAGCTTAAAAAAAAAGAAAAAAGCACAGTTAGAATAAAAACTAGAATTAAATCCTAAAGTTGGTGAATATTCTAACTATAAAGAAAAGAAAACCATGTGGTTATATTTTTGTCTTCTTGAAATCAGAGTGTACAGTACAGTATCTCCTGGTATTGTTCCTCACTATTCTTCCAATTTTGTTTTTAAAAGAAAAAAAACGACAGAAAGACATATATTTTTTATATATATTGAAGCATGTATCCTATTTATTTTAAGTTGTAATGAATTTAGATAAATCCTAGCTGCTGTTGATTAAAAATCATGGTATGATGGTATTGGACATATCCATGGCCTGTGCTGATACCTAGCAGCACTGTGTCTCCGTACAAATCATCTCTTCTTTCTGATGAACACTGCTTCATTTGCTATGGGTACCAAAATCTACCTTTTTATAAAGTGAACAAATGTCAGGTTGGACTGTGGCCTTGTTCTTGCAGTGTGGTGACTGTACTGGTTCAGTCTAACAAGATGTGAAAGGAACTCTAGTAGGTGTATTTCCACTCAACTTCCCAAGATTATTAATCCATTTAAATATAGCATGAAGGCTTTGCTCATGACTATCATTAGGGTTGCAGTGGGACCACCCTTAAATTTATCTAGAGTGAAAGCCCAGGCTTTTTGAAAACAATGTAGTTTATTTCTTAAACTTTGGCAGGGACAAGTTTTCGTCTGTTTTTTTTTCTTTTTTAGCTTCATCTGTGCTTTTGTTCAGGCATTCAGATTTAAAATGCTGTAGTGCATACTGCTTGTGTGCTTCCAACAGAAGATACATGGCACACGAAATGGTGTGTGAAATAAATCTTTGCCACCATCTCTATGGCCCAGCTGTGCCACAGAGGGGCATGTGCCATAACCAGATGCAGTGGAATGAATCATGAACAGAATGATTCACTTCGGAGTGAAAATGCTCATCTGGCATCCCATATATGCTATTTAGACTTACTGGGTTTATTAATACTTTGAACTCTATTTTGTGCATTTTTTTTGAAGAATCTATTTGACTGCAACAGCCTTGGGGGGGTTTCTGTAAAACACAAACCAATGACCAACCAGTGTCATCACGTACAATCGATTCTGTAAAAGCAGTCACAGAATGTGCTCTGGAGACAAATTTCAAACTTACTTAAACTGTTTCTTAGAGCAAAAAGTTACAGTGTTTCATGAAGTTAGGCTAGGTGGTACATATAGAACACAGTTACAGTCAGTTTAATTAACCAAAATTAGAAGAATGGTGAGGTCAGTAAGAACCAGAGTGCTTTCAAACTGACCCAGAATCCAAAATCTCCTTGTGCATCAGATGATCCCAGTTTGCCTGACAGATGCTGCAGCCATCTCCAAGACAGGATAATGTGACATTTCCACCATCAGATGGTGTACTGTACACTTTGCCACGAAGTTCTAATATTTAATCATTGTTTAGGTTTCAGTTCTCTATCAGGGAAAGACATTCTCCTGCAAGCCTAATTTGATCTATAATATATATATATTTAAAAGATAGTGCTTCCTCTTTGTATGTCTGTTTTTGGATATAATCAAAGGAACTCTGAAGTAGATTTACAAGTGTAAAGAAGCCTTATAACTGGAGTAGTTTTTTATTGTAGCACAGAACCTCTTTGTAATGTGGGGCAGTTGCACCAAAACATTGGATAAAAATTCAGTTCCACACAGCTTTGTTTCACTGGGGTGATGACTGTCAATCCAGCCAATCTTTTTTGCACCCACACAAAGCTGTTATTTCATGATTAAGACTTTTTTTTTTTTTTTAGAGTATGTTGGTTTTCAAGTCAGTTTATGCATGCAGAGATAACTGGAAAGTAATTATTTTTGTATCAGCTCTAATCTTTAAGTAAGTACTGATAATACTGACATACAGGGAACAATAAAATTGCTTTAAAGCTCTTACTGAGAGATCAGCAGTTTTTCTTTTTCAGCTTAATGTATTAATAAATTAGCAGAACTGCTTTTAAGCAATCTCTTGGGATCCCTTGTGCAATGAAGCGGCATGTGAACTCCACAACAGTGTACCCTGAAATACATGAAACCATCGTGAAAGAACTTTTTCAGTAGATGTGCTGCTGCTTTTTAGAAATGCAAAACTAGCAATCAGACATAGCATGTGTCCATTCTGTGTGCTTCTTACTAGCATTGTATGATGAGTCATCATTTTTAATATTTGCAGTGGCAAATTAATTAAACGCTCATTAAATATAAGCAACTTTTTTTTAATGCTATAAAATAACCAGTTCATTTCATCTTAGTTTAAGTCTTTTTTTTTTTTTTTCCTTTTTACTGCTGTCATTTTTTGTGCTTGTTTTTTTTCCCCAGTGAGGGTTGTCGACGAGAAAATACAATGAAGAATGTTGGATGTCGCAAGTATGCATTTAATTCCCTGCAACTGAAGGCTTTCCCAAAGTATTACAGGCCTCCAGAAGGAACTTATGGAAAAGTTGAAACATAAGCATACTATGTCCTTTAATTGCTGTTCCATTCAAACATGTGGATACGCTCTAGATTAATACATGATTTTGTCATCCAGAAGAGATAAATAACCTTTTTGTACATTTCACTAGGTTATACAGAGCATGTTACTTACAGAATTGGAATCTATAGTAACAATTATTCTGACACCTTAGCTTGAGAATAGTGTGATGACTCTGCCCGTTTAAATAGCCTTCAGTGTATGTAAGATGAACAGATATTGTGCTACTTAATAATTACCTATATGCAAATAGCTAGGTACCTCCTGGATGGGCAAGGACTCTAGGAACGGCATTCAGGCAGCTGTTTCACATAACATCTTTTTATACTGAGTTGACTTGAGATTGAGCTTTTCATAAACTTTTTAAAACTGAGAGTAAAACTCAAAAGTTGTAAATAAAAAAGGGATTGGGTCCTAGACAGTCAAATAACTGTAGAATGCATTGTCACAATCAAGAAACAGAAATTTAACTTTAAAAAAAAAATCAGCACAATAAAAGCCAGGAGTATAAATTGTTTTACTGTATATAGGATGCCATCTCCATATATGAAATTAACAATGCATAAAAGGCCAAGCATATGAGGTCTAGTTTCTAGTTCTGTCCAAATAAAACAAATTCCTGTCATTTTTGGCAGGTAAGGACTTGGGCACACATCTTAACTGTTTTTAAAAAGTGTTTCAGAAACAAAATGATGCTTAACCATTAATGCCAGCAAGAGCTCCCCGTGCCCTTCCCTACTATACAACAAGTGCAACAAGCTCGTTGCTAATGTTGCACGTGACATGTTCAGTATGTTCCATGCTTTTGTATATTATTTAACACATTTTTGCCCATGTTTTTTTATATTGCTTCTGGATTGTAAGCATTAGTATCTTACGGGGTTACATTTTTTTGATTGGTGTTTGATTTTTTTCCCCTATATCAATTCTGTATGTCAATACAAAAATGCTCAAAGTGCCCAATGCATCCCCGTTATGGCATAACCAAAATTGGCTTCTGTTTACCTTTGCATTTTACCTGGCCAGATGTTCAGAATCCTGGGGGGAACTACGACTGTTTTGAAGGAATTTCTGAGGAAGGTAGGGATGCCCCATGTTGATAGAAAGGAATTGCTCATGTGCTACTCATGTAGAACTGCGCATTCTAGCTTATGACTAAGGTGATCAGTTTGATAGCATTTGATAATAAAGATTCAACAGATCTCCTTGGAAATAATCTCCCAAATAATGCCTATGAAGCTCAGATACCTTTTTAAAAAGCAGCTAAACATTAATTTCCAAATTTTAACAGGATTAAGTCATCTGTAGCTAGCTTTCTTCAGCACAATGTGCCCTTTCCTTCTTGGTTTCCAGGGATTTAAGTTTTAGGATAGAAAAACCTGCCCATTTATTTTTGTGAGAGTAGCAACAGCCAGGTAAGTATATGGCTGTTTTCTGATTTCTTTCTCCCTCTCACTGATGTTTGTCTGTGCTGTCACTGCTCTATCAATCAGTCATGTTCATTCTGCTCCCATGCAGGTTTGGGGGTTACAGGTCTAGCAGTTTTTGCATTTTGCTTGTTGCAGTTTAACACCGAGCAGCATGTCACAAAGCCAGGTCAGAGAGTTCTGCTGAACCAGGTTGTTACCATTATTTCAGTCTCTTTAGGATAACAAAATGCTGAATTCTGTGCAAAATCACTGTACCTATCCCAGCTCTGAACAAATCATCTACAGTAGAACAGTCCCTTGGAAATTTTACAAACCCTGTTCGACAATTAATAAACAAGTGTTGGTTTTATTTTTTGCTAATATGTAAACAAATACACGGTGAAAAACTTTTCAATGGAATTTTTCTTTAGACACTGTTACTCCATTAGTTCTGCTCAACCTTCAGTCCCTGGCCCATTGTTAAATGCTACATTTATTTTTGTATAAACTGTACTCTTTATATCCCTTAGTTTTTATGAGTTGATAATTTTATTTTGTATATTTCAAGCATAGTTAATTATATTTTAAGTCCTGTATTGTTACTCTAAAAATCTTCTGATGTTCAGCTTCACAACAAAATAACAAGAGGTCTACTGTAACAATTAGCAGGGCCACTCTCTTAGACTGTGGCCAACAATCATTAGATCTATTCTAGAGCTTAGTGATCTTTTATTTATTTTGTATACCAATGTAATCAGAAAAAGTTGCTGAATTTTGTATATGCATGGTTTTTGCTCACCTTTTTAAAGTGGTGGAATACCAGTCTCAAGTACTGCATTATTTTGTTTAAAATATTCTGATTTCAGTATGCTTTTGTGTAAAACATTGTTGTCCAGCTAACATTTATATACACGACATTGTTGGTACATGCACATCAACAGGCTTGTTTAAAGGGCGTAAGGAACAGTAAGATCTCGAGCAGTTCATCAAAAAAGAAAAACTGTGAAACTTGAAATCCACGTAGGACGCTTCACAAGGGTGAAGTAAGCTTTTCTGTTGCACAGGAGAGGAAAAATTTAAGGATTACTGTAAAATGAAGTTCTGTCTAATGTTCTTTTTTGAGTACATTTTTTAAATTATAAAACATACAAAGGTAAAAAAAGAAAACTGTTGCCAAGTATGTTCTGTGTATGTTCTGTGAAAGTACCTACAGCACAGTTGCCTTTTGTTTCATTTATACATGTAAAAATTATTGTATAATACAACACTGTTTTGTCCCAACACGACTGTATTTGCCAAGCTTTGTGCATTGAAATATTTTTATTTATTTGTTTTTGAGCAGTATTAATATATCATAAACATATGGCTACTGTTTTATATATTCTAGTTCATCCAATCCATGTATGCTGTAAATGTGCTAGTCTTTAGGATGAAAACCAATAAAGAACTGACAAGAGTAACAAATGGTGGCTTACTTTTAATGTGTGCGGTAAATTGAAATACACTTTCAGGTTCCTTGACTCAATATGCTTTATCTGTTGGAGAATATATTAAGCTCAGTTGTGTATGGAGGTATTTTACACAGATAAGCAAGTCAGGACGTAGTTACTTCTAAGCCCTGCTAAATTACAGCTGCTATCTATTTTCTATAGTTGTCAGGCACAGTTTGTCCCACATGCTATACATTGAGCAACAACAGTTAAACAAAGCAGCAGTATGAGATTTTTTTTTTTAAGTTTATATACTTTCACCATGAATCTTCTACAAGACCTTCTTGAGCTTTATTCTGTTTTTCACTCTTCCTTCCATTAGTACAATTCCTTCTCTGCTGCTGCTTCCCCTTCAGCCGATTCATCCCTCCTGCAGCTTTAGTGGCTGTGCAGGGATAGGCTGTCATTGTTGATCATCATTTTGATTTCAAGTTAAATAAATTTTATATAATAGTGTAAAAGACAATAATCCAGAGCATTCTGTTTTTTTATAAAATACGAAGAATAGAAGTTAAAAATGTAATTCTACTGTCACTGGATGTTTGAGAACTGCCAATTTTATTTTCATGAAAGAGGAATAAGGACCACAGGTGGGGTTTAATGAATTTGTTTTTCTAGTTACACAGAAAACACAGTACACTGCCTGCACTCCAGAAAGGCTTACCTGGGTGTCACAAATCTAACATCTTAGGAGTTTGAAACGTGTACTCTAACAAAAGAGAGGAAATATTAAGAGATGCAACACACCAAAAAAATGCAGGAGGTAAGAGAAAACCAAGAAGAGTACAACAAAAAATACCAAAATGCTTGTTTAAACTACAAAAAGAGTCCTCATCAGAAGAAACTGAAGGTAATTTTGGTGACCAAGAGTAAGCTTTTTCAGGGTTTTCCAGTTTGTGAATTCCTAAACGTTTTTAAGACCCACCTCAGATTTTTTTTTTTACCTATATATTGTTGCCAAATGCATATGGGTTTGTTTAACATAGCTCTCCCAAATAAAGCATAAGACTTTCAGGGTATGAATAGGAAAGCTTAACAGCAATCTCTTTTACTCACATAGTAGTGTCCGACATGATCAGCTGATGGCATGAAAATACAGTTTGTAAGAGCCTGGTATCCCTGCTGAGCAGCCCATTTTTTTCTAAGCTGTGGCAATATTAAGTTGTATGTTATTTGCCAGTCTGGCCCTATGTTTTGGGGTTTTTTTCTTGTTCAGCACAGACTTCAGCATCAAGAAATCCTTTTTTTTTTGTGGTGGCTGTTGTATTTGTGCATATACCCTAAGTATTCTGAATGTAAACTTCTGAAAATCCGTATTGGACAGAATTTACAGCATAAGGAACAAACCCTACATCCCCTAATGTAATTTATTGTAAAGTTTTGGTCCTTGCGGTCAAAATACTTGAGATACTGCACTGTTTATCACTTACGTGTATCATTTTGTGCCTAAGCCCAAATCACAAGGCTTGCTGACTCCTGAGGGAGCAGGGTGGAGAAGCCTTCCCAATGCCTCCAACAGTCACAGGAGCTGCAACCCCAAACAAAATCACTAAGGCCGGAGTCAGTCACTGCCCATTAGGCTCACTGAACCTTTAATTATTCATAGAGTTGAAAAGTTAAAAGTCCAGTGGGAAAGATACTACCTGGAACATGAGGTCCCTTCCAACCCCTACCATGATTGGATGCTGCGGGGGGGTGGGGAAGGGGAGAAGTTTTAGAAAATTCTCAATCTAATTTAAAATTGATGTTGTAATGATAAGGAAGGTAAGACTGGAATATAAAACAGATACTTATGCACAGGTCTTCCACATCAGCTCTGATTCTGCTACCATGTGTGCTTGATTGCTTCAGTCTGCTACTTCACACAAGCTCATAAAGTTATTTCAGTATCATAGAATCATAGAATGGTTGGAGTTGGAAGGGATCTTAAAGATCATCAAGTTCCAACATCCCTGACATGGGCAGGGACACCTCCCACTAGAGCAGGTTGCTCAAAGGCCCATCCAGCCTGGCCTTGAACACCTCCAGGGATGGGGCATCCACAACTTCTCTGGGCAACCTGTTCCAGTGTCTCACCACCCTCAGGGTGAAAAATGTCTTGCTGACATCTAATCTAAATCTCCCCTCTTTCAGTTTGAAGACATTACCCCTCGTCCTACCACTACATGCCCCTTGTAAAGAGTCCCTCCCCATCTCTCCTTCAGGTACTGGAAGGCCGCTATAAGGTCTCCCCAGACCCTTCTCTTCTCCAGGCTGAACAACCCCAGCTCTCTCAGCCTGTCCTCACAGTAGAGGTGCTCCAGCCCCCTGATCATCTCCGTGTCCCTCCTCTGCACATCAAAGCATGAAGAAACACCATTCTGCTGCCCAGGCCCTGTGTGGGCAGTAAGCACCTGCCCTGCGAGGCAGAGGAGAAAGGCTCAGCTGGTGTGATTTTACATCACCTCGGGGTGGGGGCAGGCCAGCCGTTTATTCGAGCCGGTGCACAACAAAAGCAACAAGTACAGGAGCAGTTAAAAAGAACAAAAACGATTAACCGATAGCGAGGGCCTTTAACGCCGTTTCCCTCCCCCCCCTGCCGCCCAACGGTCGCGCGGCGGCGGTTAGCGCGGGGCAGGGGTCAGGCGCGCGGCAGTCCCCGGCCCCAACGGCCGCCGCCCTGAGGGGAGCGCTCCCCCGGCACCCGCCGGGCCGGCCCCAGCGCCGCGGCCTCCTGCGGCTGGGGGAGGACGGTACCGCAAGGCGGGGTTACCTCAAGGCGAGCCACCGGGCGGGCCGAAGAGACCGGGCTGAGCCGGGAGGCGGCGCGGGAGTAAAAGCCCGGCTCGGCCGCGGTGGAGGTTGGTAGAGGCAGTGAGGGGAGCGGCGGCGGCGGTGGCCGCCCGCCTTCGCTTTCGGGGAGGGGAGCAGCGAGGGAGGGCGATGTGGAAGGTGCGGCCTGGCTGGTCTCTTCGGCCGGGCGTTGTAGAGCCCCCAGCCTCTCCCCTCACAAAGGTGTTACTCCCAATTGTGGTTCCCCACAAGCAAGGGCAGCTCGGCAGGGTGGCCTCTACCCAGTCTGCGGCATCTCTGTTAGAAACACGCTGGTAATATCGCATTCTATAATCCAACAGTATTGAGACTCCTGTTGTAGCGTTTGTTAGATCCTGCACTTAAACGAAATTTCCTAAAATTTGTAGGCAGGTAACTGCTTATCTTTTAGATTTCCCTTGACTTGGCGTATTGGTGATACTGGGAGTTTCCATTTTGAAATAGAGGCAAGTTGGTCTTTACAGTTCACAAAATATTGTGGCAATAAAACATGTTTATATGAAGGAAAGATAGCCTAGTGCTTTTAATATTTGGCTACAAATTGCTTAAATTGTAGCTGTGTTTTGAAATACTGCTGTTCACAAATAGTGCCGATTTCAGAAGACCTGAAAAGCAAGATTAAAATAATTTACTTTTTTGGGGGGGAGTATTTCAGGATGTTTATTAACTTGCTGCTGATTGATGTTGGTATTGGGCAGATGATGCCTCAGGCATCAAACATTGAAATCCTGGAGAGCACCTGCTGCTATAGAAATGCTCTGTTTGAAAATGTCAAAATACCCTTCATGTGACAGCTCTGTAACAAACCTGAGGTGATCTACCCTAGATGTGTGAGAGACATCAGTTGGGTCTCAAATAGTATTTGTTACATTCATTCTGATTTTCTTTTTCCTGTAAATTCTTTCTGGCCTCAGAACGTTCTGATTTGGGGTTATTCCTGCTGCATTTTGTTCCCCTAATCGTAAAATTTTATTGCATGCTCTTCCTGCTGTGTTTTGATCAAATTTCCTATAAGCTTGATAAGCCTTTTGTTTATTGCACGTAAAGTTACATTTTCAATCAACTTTAGTTGTAGTTGTCTGAGGGAGTGGGTGCTCCTTGCAGTGCTGTGGCAGTATCCCCAACTTTGTTGTCTGTAGGCAAATGGCTGAAGATGTGTATCTTTGACTTTTTTCAGTTCCTTGTCAGATTTGAAATGCTTTCATGAAACCTCGAGATATTACAAAAAAAAAAAAAAGTGAACTTTTTGTATGGAAAATAAGGCTTTACAATACCTGTGTGGGAGTAGTCTCTGGAAGTAGATAACTGCAACACCACTGTGAGACATGGCTCACGGCAAGAGCTAAATTAAAGCTGATTGAGAAATATCAGCCAGTAGAAGCGCTTAATTATTGAGTTGAAATACAGCAGTGCTACTAAGAATTCTTCTGGCTTATTTTCCTCAGTCCCAGCCTCTTTCCTCTAGGAAAGTTCACCAGCTCAGCAGTAATTCAGAAAATGGAGGTGTACTCCCTTATCTGCCGAGGGGGCAGTGGGCACCACAGTGCTGGTGGGAGGTAAGCATGCAGGAGCCACTGGTGGCGTGGTGCAAAGAAGCACGGTGCAGCCGACTGGCAACTGCTTCTTGAGGCACTGGTTGAATTTCCCAAGTCAAGAGGAAAAGTGGCATCCCCCTTAGTTGTCTTTTGCCATGACATCAGTGTCATGGCCTGCCTGCAGAGCTGATGGCAACTTTTGCCCCCAAGGAGCTGATGCAAAGAGAAGGTGTGGGATTTGTTTTTCCCCTGTGTTGGGCTGGTGTGACTCAGCTCCAGGTGTCTGTACCTCTGCACTTGACATTTCTCTTTGGATGCACTGCAAAGCACAAGGGAAATGAGAACTATCAGATGTTATGAAGGGGAAGAGGAAGACACATCTAAGGAGGACCAAAGATTTGTTTGTCCTGCTTTCTTCCCTCATAAGCAAAAAAAAAGGAAAATGGACAATGTTTTTACTACGTATACCTAAATTGGTTCTGTACTGTAACGTGGGCTGACTCAGCACACAAAATCCACATTTCATCCTCAGCTGTGTGTGCTGGTTCTGCAGTGAGTAACATATTACAGACCGTGGCTCTGATCAGCACAGCTTTGCAAAAGCCACTTTGACTAAAGCCATGATGGA